TGGCTCAATGGCTAATTAGGTTGCAATTGCACACTTGGCGTATGCGTGATATATCCATGATATATCTCATTCGCCCCGGCGGACAGTGAGCAATTGGGCATTGAGCAGTAAACATTGGGAGCAAACTGAGTCAGCACAACACAGAGCTGAGCGGCAAACAAACACGTTTCCAGGCCAAAAGCCCAAAACTGGCAGCATTTTGGCCAGGCACTCGAGACCATGGCACGTACATCGTACACAAACCGACAAGTCAAATGTGCAGCAAGCGTTTTCGCGCAATTTGTTTTGTTTTTGTCACTTTGGCCAACAAGGTGAAGGTTAGGGGACAAACAAAATGTCCCCAAAACGATGAACACCGCATGGAAAAATTGCATGCATTGTACATTAATACATTTGGAAAACTTTCTGTAGGGAAAACATGTTTTCAACTCTTCAAATAAAAAAAATAAAACTTTTTAGTCAAGACTAAATAAATATTTATCTAATAGCCAATACCTTTTCCGCTTCACCGTTTGTCGTTTTATGGCATTAAGTTGTCATTTGTTAGGCAATGAATCTAATGCTCGGTTAGCTTACAAAACGGCTTAAAAGACACAACGACGCTGCAGTTAACTTGGCTTAAAGGTGTCCTGCAAACTATCTAAATTTGACTTAAAGAGAATATTTAGTTGTGACCAAAATACTCATTTTTAAGCCCAACAAAACTTGAATATTATTAATTCACTATTTAAAAATCAAGCAACAGTAAAACTTCCTATTAAATAAATCTGTTCGATAAAATTGATTACTAAACGATCTGGTCCCAGTGATAGCCGAAAATCAGTTGCTGCGGAACCCATTAATATTTAATAATGATGTATTCGGGGCCCTTTTGAAACATTGTAATCAGAGTGGAGCGCACTCGATGCCACCAGGTCGAAAGTGGGGGATATATAAAAAAAAACAACACTCGGGGCCTCAAGTGGAAGACCCGACGAAGTCCGACATCCTGAACCCCCATTGGATTCCAAAAACCATCCAATTTGATGGCTGACAGCTGGCAGTGCAAACAGAGCTGCAATGATTGTTGTTTGTTTGTTCAAATGGTTGGCTCATCCTCAATCCTCTGTCTTTGGATCCCCGAAAGCGACTTCAACTTTTCGGCAGCTGCGAAACTGATGGCTGATTGATTTTCTGTCGAGATTTTAAAATGGGGGGGGGGAGGGGGAGGCGATTATTACAACACTCCCCACAAACCGATCATTATGTTCATAACGCAATTTGCATTCACCTCTCCAAAAGCTGCGTTTATTTTGTTTGTTGTCTTTACAGTTTTTTTTGGCTTTCGGGAAATGGAACTTTGCTGTGATTTGATTGATTGCAATGGCCAGCGGTGCGTGTCGAAAATGGCCAAAATGCTCAAAACGACGTTCAAAATAATGTCCAATGGGCCAACGCACCGAGCAATTACGTTGTGTTCGTTAATTCCATGTTATTTTCCCTGCGAAAGCCAAAGAAGACATCATTAAGTTCGAATAAGTCGATTGCCACACCATTTTGTTCAACAAATCGCACGAAATATCCGACACACAAAGGCACAAACCAAAATAAACTCAAGTTTAGTGCTGGTAACTGCAAAATCGCAGTCGAAGTGTTAGGACAAAAAGCGAAACACACAAAACGCAATTAATCAGCCGCGAGGAAGTGCTTTAAATAGAAAGTAAGTTATACGAAATATATATGCTCTTGAAGGTACACATGTGCTTTATAGTTTTTCTGGAAGTTGTAAGTTCTTCAATGTTTCTAGGGAAATATTTTTTATTCTTTGTTATATTGTTAACATAAGTTTTCAAGAACATTATAGAATTTTTTAGGTTGGTAAACTTTAACTGAATTCCATTGAGTTACTTAGAGTTCCATACAATAAACAAAAACTATACCATAAATAAAATTATAGTAACCCTAAATAAAAGGGTATATAGCTATAGTATTTATGTAAAAACCCAATATGCCTTTCATTATTTAATTAATGTTGGAAATAAAATCAATTTAAAAATAACGCAAAACAAAAGGCAATCGGTTTTTCAAATGTGCCGCATTTCGCGGTTCGCTGTGATGACTTTGATTAATTTGCGCCGTCACTTTCGCCCAATGTAGAGCAAAATTATTAATGAGCTGAGCTAATTATTCACCCACCTCTTATTAAGTCTGGGGATTATGTAAGCCGGCTAAATTGAATCATCGAGTATATTATCGATTCCCGATTTGCATAACTCAATAATCTACGATCGGTTTAAGTTGCTCGACTCGCATTTTTTTTCGAGTTGTCGCTACCGTTCGGCGGTGTCATTTGTTTTCCCAATTGATTGATGGCGGCATTTCTTTCGGCCTTTTATTTAGATTTTGCCTCCGATTTTTATTTCGATTGCGATTTAGCATTGCCCAACAACGAAACGTAAACACAGAGCCCGAAAATGTGTGTAATTACACTCGGCCGAGCGGTTCCCATTCAGTTCGCCGAATTTAAAGGTTAAGACTCACCATTTAAATTTAACAGCCTCTAAACACAATGCGCGGCCATAACAAAGACAACAAACAGCATCGAAACTAAACGAATTGGGTCTTTGTTCCAATTTTTGTGTACTTCGCAGGCTTTTTGCCCAAAGTTCAAAATGTTAATTGCCGGCAAAAGGTAAAGCAACGCCTTCACGGTAGTGGTTAAAGTAAAAAAAAATTGTATTAAACTCAATAAATTTCTGCAAAAGCAGAGCAAGCAAACCGCAAGCTTTATGGGAATCCCCTGCAAGAAAAAGGCGAAGTGACCATCTAATTAAGAACCAAACTTTTAAATATGAAGGTCAAATCGGTTATTCAATAAAATAAAGAGTAAGGAATAAGTTGTGTCCCTGTTTGCTATCTAGATTGCTATGTAGTCATTTTAATATGAATGATTGTTTACTTCATTACTATTTTGAGTCTTCAGTGGTTTTAAGTGGTTGCATTGTGAATAATAAGCCCCCGGACTTTTCTAAGATCCTCTGTCAACCGCAACTACAACTACAAACGCCCACAACAGCGCCAAAGGCCTGAACAACTGAAAACAAAAACCGAATTGGTAGCAAAATTCAGTAGTCAGAAAAATACGAAATAGATGGAGATAAAAAATCGAGCAGTTGACGTGACCAGATCTCCAGATTTCTGTCTCCCTCCCCAATGGATGGTCGAAAATTGTACAAATCGTAAATCGATTTTTGTTCACATATCACGAAATGCTACGGCTATATATAACAAAATAGTTTTTTTTTTCACTTTTTGTTATAGTTTAAATTTATTTAAGTCTCTACGCTGATTATGATAGTGTTAACTATTCGGTTTTCGGCTCTTTTCTTTTGCGTTACGTTATGGGCAAGATTCGTGTGTCTGCTGTTTTTTTTTTTTTTTTTGTAGATATTTTTTTTTTTATTTCTAGGGGCCTTTTTTACTTATAATTTCGCGTACTTATTATTTGTATTATGCGAGCCGCGCTCATTAAATTTCATTCATTGTGCAAATGAATGGCAATTGTTGTTCGCTCCGGTTGCATTTTACCGCCTCGTTTCTTGGATCCGATGTGATCATTATATGGTTGAGAGCTGGCCCAAATTGGGGGCGTCATCATCAGTGCGCTGATTGTTCAGATCTGGCCGCTTATATATCTCTTTGACAAGCCATATACCCATAGCCTGGGAAATTGTCACAAGGTAGCTGCGGTCGTGATGCAATCTGTGGTTTTGAGCTTTGGCCCAATGAGTTGTTGAATGTTGAGGCACATCTGCAGCCAAAAGGCATTCGAAACAATAATAAAGATTTTTTTGGACCCGCAAGTTATTACAAGACTAATAATAAAGCTGTACTTGATTTTGCCATTTCCATTTCAACATGCACGGAAAACTAATTCTCAAATGGTGATATGCAATTTGAAAAACTCAAAGAACGTAAGCTTTATTTTTTTATATTTGAGGAGTGTGGTGACCCGTCTTTTATTTTACTTTTCGTATTGTCTTTGGGATGGAAAATGTCACAGGGGAAATGTTTTGGTGGCGAGTGGAGTAACGAAAAGGTGCATGGTAATTGGAAAATGGTACGGCCGCAATGACATAATGACACACAGACAGAGGGAAACTCGGGGAAAAAAGCAGTTGGGAAAAGGCAGATGAACGACGACCAGATGGAGATGTCTGGCTATATAACAAAGGAAAATTAACCCAGCATACGGAAGCAAGTGAAAAATGCGGTCTGTGGGTCTCTTGTCTTCTTTTTCCCCTTTTCCTCGATCTTCAATCTTGGGTCTACAGAGATACAACTCTTCCAGTAATTGCCGCCGATGTCGTAAGAGAGCCGAGAGATGTCTGGGAAAATGCTTTTGGCCATTCGTATTTGATACTTTGCTTCTTTTATTTTTGTTTTTTCTTTGTGGAATATATACACACCCCTTTCCCCCTTATCATCTATTTGTTGTATGTTTTCTTATTTTTGTTTTAATTTGTTTGCCTTTCGGTTTTTTTTTTTTAATTTGTTATATGGCTTACTCAACTCCTACTGACAAATTAGCGACTCCAGATAAGATTTTCACCTCTTAATTAAACAGAAACCAAGACCGAAATCAATGACAAATTTTGTAATCGCTCTTAGCGAAATGCCACATGTGTGATTTTTACCTCTGCTACTCTATCAGGCATTTTTTTTTAGTTACATTTTTATGGTTCACCCTCAAATGCTAAAACTCTACTTCAACGCGAGGCAAAACAAAAGCTGACAAAGTGAAAGCGCTGCTGCCACAAATCAAAGCCATCAGCAGCTGCTCAACTTGATCTCAAGCCGCGAGTCTTTGGCCATTGGCCGCCGGTTGATGACTTTAAACCCCATAATTCTCGGGGCCCCCATACAAAAAAAAAAAAAAAAAAACAAGCGCAGCGAATAGTTTTAGTTTCACTTTCACAGCTAGCTAATTAAGTCACAGATACACAGCGTTTTGAACTTACCATTGTGATGGAGAGCTTCCTGATCCGGTGGCTTAGCCATGATTACAGATGCCATGAAGATTGTTACCAGACTGGCGCAAATAAGTAAGTGATTTAGTGTTAATCCCCTGCTGATTTGGTTTGTTGCATAAACTAATTTCCTCGGCGATGCTGGTCCATCTGAAAATGACGATTTTGGTGTGCTGCTCCTGCAGATTTGACTGCTTTTTTTAATAGATGCCATCTTTATGTTCTAGTCTCTTCTCTGCGTTTGATAAAATTCTAATAAAGTATTAAGAATCACTTGTTTGGTCACTGAGCCACCGTCATGGCAAAGGAAAAGCGGCTGCAAAACAACAATCGCAGCAACGACAACTGCAAAGTGAAATTTCACTTTCGGGCATTCAAGTGGATTTAACTGGGATCATGCTTAAAAGTTGTTTTGGTTTTTTTCTTCTTTTTTTTTTTTTTGTTCGAGAGCAGGTCCGGCCAACTCAAAGATGCAGAGACACAAAGATACACAGACACAACAACACTCACAAAAAACATACTTTTTGGGATCCATGTGAGCTGGGGTCACGCATTCGTTTGTTTGAAAAAAAATAATCGAATAAATCAATAGAGGCATATATGTACATTGATGAAATGAAATGTACAATCTTCAATTGAAAAATATCTAAAAGAGGCGTAGATATTATAACTATCTATTTATTATTTTAAACCCAACGTGAAGAGCAATCCAGCTGCGATTAGCTTCTAAAATATTATTTTCAGCTAACGGCCATTGTGTTTCAGTTGTGGCTGCTGTCTAGTGTTATGGTTGTTATTGCTGTCATCTTATCGGCTCGGCATAAAAGTCATAAAAATAAAATTTATTTTGTTAGGTTGAGCTCAGTAACGGCAACAAGTTGACTTGACTCGGACCAGCGGCAGCTGCTTTGGCTGCCACATGCAACGCAAGCAACAGAAACAAAAAGAAAAAAAGAAAAACACTTTCGCAACAATTTTATTTGGCCAGTTTGGCCAAAAGTTTTTGTTTTCATTATTATTATTATAACAGTAGTCGTGCTGTTGTTGTTGTTGTTGCTGTTGTTGTTATGCAGGAAACTATTAGCGCGGAACCACAATACACGTACACCAAATCCGAATAACAAAATTATTTCATTCTATTATTTGTAATTTATTTGCATTTCGTTATAGTTTCGAGTAGCAATTAATTCAAGCACTTTTTTGTAAATGCGGAAATGGCGCGCGATCAAAACTTTGAACACTTGAACAAAAACGAAAGAAAAAATGTAGTTGGATATAAATGAAGGCGATGAAGCGCAGCACCCGGGATTTGTTGTGTTTATCTGCATTACAGTCCAGCTCACTTCCTAAATAAAATGAAAGCGCACAAACAATTGTTCAGGGGCTTACATCGGGTTGAAAAAACGCACTTTGGCGGTTGGCGGTTTAAATCGCGATGGCGGCTAAAATCGCGACGTGTGCCAAGCGGTCGTTGCGAACGCCATCAACGGTCTGAGCGGCGCGCCTGCGCCGTCGTAAACTTTAAAGGCATCGCATTACAAACGGTCCGAAGAGCGAGACTGAGATTGAGCGTTGCGGAGAGCAAGAGAGAGAGAGAGAGCTGGTTTTCATGAATGGAACTCGAACTCCAAGGGGATCGCTTTGGATCAGCTGTTGGGCTCTTTTTTTGCCGTTGCTTCGCTAGCTGCGTGCCCCACAAACCGGTGAATGTTGTACAACTGTTTTGGCTGCCGCTCGTGGCTACCGCTTCTCAGCCGCTGCGCTCAATTCAGGAGGATGGGGTTCCGGCTGAACAGTTGCAACAGCTGCGAGATACATTATGATGGTCAGAACATGGCACTTGAGATATTATATAGACAAAAAATGGACCTATGATCCAGAGCTTAAAGTCCTTCTTAAATTTGTTGGTAAATTTTGAAGTAAAAATGGTACCATTAAACCGTGTAGGTTTTTCCTTATCCGAAACATAAGACGAAAATTCAAAAAATCGACCAATATTAGAAAACAAATGTGGAATGGAGATCAACCAAAGGAAGTAAGCCAGTTTGAAGTCTTATAATCAGACTGGTAAAGTTGGCCAGGTCTGGGTCATATCTTAGGAAAGTTAAAGAGAAGAATCAGGTTGGCTTGGAAAAATGCAGGTTGGCAAGATAGGAGCCCGTTTCGATTAACCATATTGGCTAACTTTTTTCTGTCAATAATTTCTGCCCATCTGTTGGCTATTGAAATTCCCAAAACTCCGCCTAGGGAAATGTTAATTTCAAAATCCCGATGGTTTCGCCATTCGCCAAGGCAAGGCAATTAGCTGGGCTCCCCTACCGCAAACCTTTCCTCAATGACTGATCATTGCTTTGCCCTAAACCCATAATCGGCCCTAAGCGTTATTAGTCTTGACAGAAGCGTTAAAACAAACACGCAATGAAAAAAAAAACACATACGAAAAGGGACATGTTAACAGGGCTTTAATACTTTTGATTAGGTTAAAGCCCGAACATCGCTCCAAGCGATGGCCATAACGAGATGGAGTTGGCTAATTAATCGTTGGTCGATGTGCCATCAACTCTGCCTTATCTAATAGTATTTTTCGCTGACCGTCTGACCGCAGAGGTCGCTAAATCGATTTAACCACAACCAAAACCTATTCAGTTTTCACGCTGATTACACACTCCATATTCGTTATCCTATCGCCATTGGACTTGTACTACTTAGGGTACATTTTGATTGGTTTTACATATCCATTTATTTTTCGGATAGCCGTTTCTTCGTACTAATTTTTCTTCAAGCGCAAAGTAACACTATCGCTGTTAGTGACATGCAGCTTTCTTCTTTTGTGAATTTCCTGCATGGTTGTTATGACACTGTCATGGTTTTTCCTAAGGGGAAACCTCCTTTTTTTCAGCTCTCTGGATTATTTCATTCAGATGTGGGCGGTGTGTCTGTCGAAATGTGTATCTTTTGGGATATTTGGGCGACGACAAGGCGATGTCTCTTCCGCCAAGGCGCCGAAATCTCACAGTTTTGGGGTTTAGCTTTTAGCAGTAATAGTTAGGCATTTTCATTTGGAAAGAAGGGGAAACAGGGGAAACAGGCCACCAGGGCGTGCCTCCAAATCAGGCTTAAAAAGCAATTACGCACTCTTCGCAGTTGTCGCCGATGTCGATGTTTGAGTTGGAGTCTGGATTTTGAGACGAAGTCGATCTGCAGCATCGACTTCCTGCTCCAGGCGCAGCAAATGCGTTTTCCTCAAACCTCCCTGCCCCTTTTGTCGGGCTTTTATTAAAAAGATAGTTTTCTTTGCTGGTTCCAATTTTTATACCCTTGCGTTGCCTATTATAATTTTAGTCTGAAGTTTGCATGGCAATAAAGGATACACCTTAGACCAGGAAGAGTATATGGTACATATGTATTTCCTGATCAGCATCACCATTTCAGTTGATCTAGACAATGACGTCTTTCCGTCTGTATTTGTCTGTAAAACAAAAAAAAATGGATTTTTTGAAAAAAAAAAATTTAGGGGGACCCCCACAAAATTTTTCGAAATTGGAAAAAAAATGTAAGCAACTTTTTTACAGGCCTGGAAACATGAAAGAAAATACCTTCCCTGTTCAGATAAAATAATTTTTGGACAAGCTGCTTAGTTTGACCGAAAAAAATATGTGGGAAATTTGGAAAAATAGATTTTCCAAAAGCTATAAGATACCCCCACAAAGATTTCGAAAAAATATCTTTATCAAAATCTATAAACGCTATTATGCAACATTTAAAAAGGTCTAGAAACATGAAAGAGTTTAGATAAAATTATTTTAATTTTGGGCACGCACGCGCGTCCGGATTGCAATCGATATGTTATCGAGATCGCGTCTCAATTTTAGCCGCTTAGTGTGGCCATATATTACGTAGCGCTACAAATTTTTCAGTTTTTTGGCTTGCAAATGGTTGAAGTCTATGGTGCCATCAATACATCAACCTTTTTTTAGCAACGGGTTCAGGTTTTACCCAAAAATAATGTAAATCATGAGACAAAGCTATAGTCGATTATCAGTTATTCGTTAAATAGATAAACTGCGAGCGTGTCTATAGAAGCTACATAATATAGACGTTCGATCCGAGCAGTTCTGACTTATATACTTCGTGCAATAATTGCACAACTTTTCAAAATAGATTCAACGAGATCGGTTTTAAAACTGAGAGACTATTTTACATAAAATTAGACAGACGTTCATGTCTAAATGGTTTAAAGTACAAAAAAATGTAACACCTATTCAATTATTAGGCGCCAAGCCACTGTGGCGCCCTGATTTTATAAGCGTCCAATGCTACAACTAACATTTAGTGGAGAAGCAAACCGTTTACCGGTTTTTTTTAAGTTTTTAGTACCAAGGTTTATGGTTTTGAAAGTTAAACTTTGGGAAAAGTTTACTATCCTTAGCATGTAAAATGTTAGTTATTAATTTAATTGGAAAATAAACAACGATAGAGTGTAGATGGAGTCAGTTGAAAACTGCATAACTTGGCACCTAATATGGTAAAACTATTAAAACGTAAGATACTGCTATATTTTAAAATATCCAAATTATGTATTTTAACGTTAAAATTCAAGTAAGTTTTACAACATTTAAAATGTAATCTGTATTCCCGTTGTCATTTACCTAACCCGTAAACCAGTTTGCGCCTTTCTTTTCCTCACTTTTCTTTCTTTATTTGACATTTTTCCTACCGTTGACAAGTCCATTAACATTGCCATAGACATTGACAAGCGTGGCTCAGTCGATCAATTGATCAAGTCCTGTGACTCATGAGGCAACTGGTTTAAGAAAATAAGAAACAAAACTCATTTCTGTGTACCCTCGAAAATAAAACACAAAAGTTCGGTTTGGATATGACGGAGAAGGCATTAAAACACGAGATCCGCATATGAAATCGGGTAATAAAAACCGCTGAAGTAACGGCAACAACTGGCAACAGCAACAGCAACAGGGAACCGGCATCATGCGACAGTTGCCAGTTGCAACAATTACAACATTACCGATTCTGGTCGCGACTCAGGCAATAGTTCGTCGTATTGTAGCTCAAGAAAAATACAAATAATTATTTTTTTTTAAATATTTTATACTTTCCCTAATCTACTATCCTGCTACGTGTTACTAAATGATATGAAAATATTTTAAAATAGCTATTATGTGCACATATATTTTTTTCCTGTGCCATATTGCCAGGTTTTCCTACGTTTTTTCTTCCAGTTTGATTCGAGTCACAAGACTTGGGCGAGTGCAATTGCATGCCACACTGCACCCACACAGAAACGAAAAGGGGGATACTGGTGGAGAAAGAGACGGGCTCCCCCATTCTCCATTTGCAGTTTTGTCCCATTCTCCTGAACTCGCATTTAGTGGCAACTGTCTTCTGTTTTTCCGATTTCAGTTGGCCTTTGTTTGTATTTATTGGTAATACCCTTTTGTGTGGAGAGTATTTAGTCCAATTGAAAGAAATATTTCCGAAAAATTTGAAGTATTAACATGTCTTAGGAAATCCTTTCTAGCTAAAAGCACTAGAACCGTTTTGTGTCCTACGAAGAGGATATCTTTATTTTGCTTATCAATTACAAACTTAAGGGTATGTAGCACTTCGACTCTTACAATCGATCCTTTCTTTCTCGTTTTTCTTTTGTCGTGTGCTTTTATTTTTGGTTTTTCTGCTGTGTTTTTGGAAATTCGAAACATTAACGGAAAGTCTGTGGAGGTAATTGGACGCGTTTAACGTGGTGGAAAGAAAAATTGAAAGGAGAGGGAAATGCAGGAGATTCATTCAGTGCATAAATCCGATTCCCAATCCTGAACCAAAACAGAGATCGGCAAAATCCCTTTTGGACGCCATTTATATTTTGTTTTGCTTTTTTTTCGTTCGAAAAGTGAAAAGAGTGAAAAAAGTGAAGTGGGTTTATAATTTGACTGTCAAATTGTATAAGCAAGAGGTAACATTTAGGATTTATTTCGTGGCCGATCTAACAAATGAAACTGTTGACCACATTTTGTTAGTGAAAAACAAAAACTTGGCCACTCTAAAAAATCACAATCCCCATATTCGGCTGAAATATGATTTTGCCTTTGCTCTAGCTTTGTCACAGAATATTTAATAAAAACCAAAAAAAATGTGGTATACATTAAAAATTCTACGTCAAAGCTTCATAAATATTTAAGCAAACCGAAATGTGGTATAATTTACCGAGATCTATGTCTGGAATGCAAATTCATTCAATTCAACTGTGATAACTCGTTCTAAACTAAAATTTGGTGAAATAAACTTGGGGAGTTTTTGTAGTGACGACATTTCCAAGACTTATAGACTTTTGAGGTCTCTTTTCCGCAAGCGGAAATCTTAATTTTAATTCGGTTAGTGTTGGTAGCTTTTATTTGGGGTTATGGGTTAGCCCTCTTTTACTTCTTATTATTATATATAAGAAACTATAATATATTTGTGTTACAAACGCTTTGTTTGTTTTTATTGGGGAGATTGCCAATTTTAAAAAAAGAAAACAAACATTTGAACGATTGTTCAACTGACAGACAAATAATGAAAGCGGTTGCTACTTTTCTGTTTTTTTTATTTTTACAACCTGCAACAAGTTTTTTGATCAACAAGTAACAGTGGCTAAAAGTTAACAGGAAGATAAACAAAACTCATATTGACAGATTGAGGATGAGAGTGGTCTTGACTTTTGGGCCTGGTCTCTGGTATTTAATCGATTTCGATTTCTTCGGGGAAATGAACGCATCGCAAGGCCATAAACGTATTATGTTGGGAAATGTAAGCGATCGCGCGCATCGCTAATTGTGAAATGGTGATCGTTATTCGCAGTTATCTTTTTATTTGTTAGGTTATATTGGGTTATTCCTAATCGCGTTCACCGCTTTCGTCGCAATTAGATGTCACTTTCTTTCCATATGCGCTCCTATCCAAGCCAAATCGATCACTCTCTCCGACTTTCGGGCATTATCGGTTACAGTGCCCTTCATTTCGGGACCTTACGTCAGAGAGCGGTCGCATAATTAGTTATCACAGTGCCCCGCATGCCAAATGCATAACTGGATCCGCTGATGGTTGATCACTTTAGGCCACACAGCGAAAAAATATGTTAAACTTTTTTATAAATAATAAATTAAATGAACAGCAACATTTTTTAAAGTTATTTGCCTCTAAAAAGTTTCCAACATACGTACCTTATTCCATATTGAAATATTAGAAAACGAAATTCAGTCCATTTTCTTTCTGTGCATAAATAAAAAACCCGAAACGAAACTGAAACCAAACCGGAACCACTCAAAGCACTCAAAGATCCCAAGGCGTGTGTAGGTGTTGACAAGTAGATCACGAACACGATCGCGATCACGACTTAAATCGCGTAGAGCCAAAGAAACCAAAGCTTACTCATCGCAAATTCTTGAATCCTCTTTAGAAAATAGAGCCAGAAGACCAGATTCAATCGCCGACCGAATCTAGTTCAACTAGTTAGTTAGCATATGAAGTCGTCTTTGGGCTTAAGGCTCAACCTTGAGCTTTTTTTTCGCGCTTTTGCTGGCCATTAAGTTCGATCATAAAAAATAGACCAAGCTGTTTGCCATGCTAAATATTTAATGAAGTTGTGAGGTAGTTCACTCGCCAGCCCAATGATCAATGATCGCAGACTTTTGCTGTGGCAATAATAGCAAAGTGTTAAATGCCATTGAAAGACGGATCGAGAAAGGTGAATAAAAATGCAGAAAATAGGAGGGGAAAAAGGGAGAAGAGAAGGTGGGAAAGGGGGTTGAAAAAATGTTGTTCACCTTTCAGCCGGGGCTTAAAAAAAAGGGGGTCTGACTGTCACTTGCAGCTCATGTTGTTTAATGTTCACCTGATCATTCCAGCCATAAACACACACTGCCAAGAAAATAGATGCACAATATATACCTATATATTTTTTTTATAATAAACATATAGCCATGACTTTTACACATAATTAGTTATACATATTTCAGTCGAAATAATTGCAACTCATTCTTCGCTTAGAAAATAATTCATTACTAAAAAAAACACACAATAACAAAATATCGGTTATTCAAGTAAATCTTACCATCTTGGCATTTCTTAAACTTAGAAGATAAACCTGACCTTTCTAGTTATGTAAATTTTTTCTCGGAAACCCTTGACATTAGACCTAGTATTTTGCCCACGGCTGTGTCTGTTGTACACACTTGTATGCAAATGCCAAATGGTGGTTCGTCTCGGTTGCTTCAGGTTTTTTGAGGCTTGAGCTTGGGTTTCTTGAGTTTTAGTCCGCTTGTCCCTCGCTAACCTACCCCTTTTGCCACGCCCCCTTTGCCATTCGATTATTGAATCGTTTTAATGCCAATTTATGTAACTTTCGGGCAGCGTTTCCACTTCGATCTCCATCCCGCTTTGATCTCCGCTTTTGCGTCGCCGTCGTGACTCAATTTCAAGTTAAACAGTTTAAAATTAAACAATTTTTCGTAATAAAATAAATCCACAGCAGGCAACAACACCCTAAAAAGCGAGACCAAAAGCACCTCAAACTGGGTCACTAAATGATTAAACAAAATAAAATAAAATTTTAAACTTTACAACTGTAGCCAACTCGATCATAATTTCTGATATGTGATTTGGATCCATGCTGCTCTTTGCTGACTAGTTTCAATGGTGCCGTGATTGATTGATGGATGGATGGGCGGGCTGATTGACACGGTTTAATGGCTTATAATTCGTATGTTATTCAGTCGGGAAAATCTTAAAAATTAAACGTTAGTTAAAAACGTATTGAAAGAGACATAAGCATATGAGCATGGTTTGCAGATTTCCCTATGAATAATTAAACAAAAGGTAAGTATTCTCATTAAAGTTCAGAGGTTACATACAAAACAATTTTAAAAAGCAGCTCGTTGAGGTCATTAAGCTTTATGTTTGTAAATTGTTTGATCCACCTACTGAAATTATCGCGAAGAAATTGCACTGCAGATTTGCGTTTAATATTTATATAATGCATGTGAAAAATCATTTTGCACAAAATAGATATGTAGATAAATATATTCGAGCCGGAAACCGCTGGAAGGTCGCCAAAACTAAAAACGGTTTAAGATTCTCGACAAAAGTATATTTCCCAAGTGAATCACTTAATTGCAGCCTACGTGGAAACCATTATGATGATCAACAACATCTTTATGATCGGTGTGGTTGTTGAAATGATTTTCGACACATCGAAGGCGTTCTCTTAAAAGGCCAACAGTTGACGTACATTGAACCCCCAGCGACACTCCTCAAAAGTTGGGAATACATAAAGAAGAATAGACTCAAGAAGGAGATACTATCGGACAATGAGCAAAAGTCAGGAAGCATTAAGATATTTTCATTACCACAACAAAGAGAGACAAAGCCAAAATAAAGTTAAGAAGCGGTAAAAAAAGTTATTCGATAAGGAGTCGAAATCTTTTAATTCTACGTGCTTGGATTATACGAGTGACTGTATGGGGAAGGCCGGGGAGGAGTTTTTAACTATAAACTTTGGGTATTTCCTGATTGCTCTCTGAGAGGAGTCCCCCATCTTGCCTCCACGTCCTCCACCTTTACGTTCCCTCCCCACAGTAAACACACACCTCTTGCATAATAATTGACAGTTATAAATTTTACTTGGCTCAACATGCGCGCCCAGGTTGGAAATATAAGAAAAACTGAGAAAAAGTGAGCCGGTATACACTGAGAAGAACAACGAGCATCAATTAATACAATGTACAATAAAGAAGACTTAAATCAGGTTACCCGCCAATATTTCTTATTCACGATTCCACAACTTCAAAACTCTTCCTCCTAAAAAAAACTTGTTTTATTTTAAAAATTAGTTATTAAAAAAAAAACGTTGAAGTGTAGGGTCTTGAGGAGTGCTTTATTCTTTTGGCTCATGTCCAGTTTGCCGGTCAGTTAGCGCACTGAGCTCCCTTCAAAGTTCACGTAACTCTGAGCGGAGAAAAAGACAACACCTTGAGAAGAGAAAGAGACAGTCAGATGGAGTTAGAAAGAGACGAGGAGATGGCTGGGCCTATATTTTTTTTTTGTGAGTGGATCGGGGATTGGAAATCTTGGCGACGCCAACGACTGCAGGCCACATTAACATTCCACGTTGGCCACTCCTGTTTGCGTACATCTGTATGCAGATATGGCTACATACAGCCCATATATATATACACTCTCCAACACTTGAAATGTTGAATAACAGTTGTTGTTTCTTTTCTTTTTCTGCTCCCCATCGCCGGTTTTGTTTTTATTACAATTTTATGAGTTTTTTAAATACATAAAAGTGTTGGTACCTGAAGTGTTTTTATCTCCCTGTTGGGCTCCTTTGAAATGGTACCGGGTATGTGGCATTTTTCTTTATTTTTTGGACAATGAATTGGCAAAAGAAATACTTTCAAGCTGTGTTATGATGTCATAGACTTTTTTTTATGGTTTATGCTCTTAAATGTGTGATCTTGGGATTACTACGTTCATTTTTTTGAAACATGTTCCCACTTAAAATGTCAAGTTTACAGCTCAATAAGTGTTATGATGCCATCGCTTTGTATTATTAATAAAAATCCAAATACAATATGCGTTTCTTATATCTCTGTATGTAACTTCAACTCTGTTTTTTTTATGCAGAATTAAAACAAAAGCTAAACTCTTCATTTCATATTTGTCTACAAATGCAGCATTTGTAAAATTTGTCGAAACCTTTGATCATTATTGACTCTCCCTTAAAATTCTATCTCGTTTTTTAATTATTATGCAATTACGAAATGCACACTCCTCGGCCTTAATCATCGCCATTGTAATTACTATCAATTATTTTATTTTCATTCCTGGTACATTGTCCTTGAGACACCGCATCAAGTGCCACGCCCCAGAAAATTATCACTCGCCGTGCACTTTTTTATGACCATCGAAAACTCGACATCTGACCTCGAAGTGCTCCGCACGAAACGCATCCTGTTTCCCCCGGTCGAAGCTTTGTTTTCTTTCGCTATCTTTTGCTCATTTTTATGTGGTTTTTAGTTGGGTTTTTTTGTCGGTATCGAGGCATCCTTGGCAATGCGCCCGGGTAACTTGATCAACGTGACCTCGGCAAAGCTTGAGTCACTTGTACTTGTATTCCCAAAAGACGATCACTTGAAACTTAATCAGTTCATGCAGCTGCTGCAAAGAAAAAGGGGAAAAACCAAGGCCGCAAAAGGTGACCAAGGATCCCTTAATTATGCACGTATATGGCAGGTATGGGCCTGAGGATCACTTCCCGGTTCGCTGCACTCGCCAAAGAGGGAAGCTTTTAGCCTCTTCTGTTTGTCTCCTTCGGTATTTGCAAATATTTATCATATAATCAATTGATCAAACTAAAAAAGGGGGCCAGAAAAGTAAAGAGCACCAGAAAAAAACCTTTCGCGTTCCAGTTTATCGATCAATGATAATTAGAAAATCGATTGATCAACCTCTTGCTTATTAAAAAAAAAAAACAGTAAAGGTATTGGAGTAAAGAGAGAAAGAGGTGTTGAGCTTCACAGGTTGATATAAACCACTTTGCGGGGATTACCAAACCAAACTTATTCGGTAACTAAAACCCTACTTTAAGAAGAAGTTTGTTAAAAAGTGTATTTTATTAATTTTTTTTATTTTAGTAGAAATGCATTAAACACACATTTTTTTCATGGATGACAAAGTAAAGGTGTTAGTTGGACATTTACAGGGAGCTTTGGTCTTCAGGTGTGTTTTTGTCCCACCTTTCGGAGTCAAGCCAAAAATTTTGTATCTCCACCTATGGGGCATCCAGTTGGCCAGTTTAAGATCTCGCAGCTGGAATTGCATAAATACTCGGTAAGCAAATGAGCAACGGGTAATCAATAAGCTCCACAGATTGGATAATATCTGAGGCTGGGCTGAGGCAGGGGAAGCCGGGGAGATGATCTGTCTGCTGGCTTGCATACGAGCATGTTGCGTGCCCTGCTAATTGCAGGCGAAGCGGTTAAAAAAGCGGCCACCGCGGCCAACGCGGCGTATGTGTAATGCGGTTAATCAACGACGACTACGAACGAACAAACGGCCTTGAGACCAGCTGCCAACCAGTTTTGGCTTATGAAATCAGCAGCAGTTGACTGAGACTGAGACGGCTAGAGAGCATCCCAAAAAATGCAAGTGAATGTCGCTGCTGCAAAAAAAAAAAATCTTTTAATAACCGTATCAGTTTCATATTGTCCAAATTTCCTTGGGCTGAGAGAGAACATTTTTGTGTTCAAAAATTAAGTTAAAAGTAAAGATTTCTATTTTTTTTATCAAATAAGAAGGAAATCTTTTGAGTCCGCGTGTATACAGGTTTCTGTTAGGAACAATTTGTAAAAATTAATCTCCCATATATTTTTTTTTTTTTTTATTCGTAACTAATAGCAAACTAATGAACAAAGTTCTTCAGTATACAAATTGCAAGCTCCTAACTTTATAAACATTTTCCTTTACGCTTAAAGAAGTTTGTGTCGTTTCTTTAAGTGTGGGTTTCTTTTCTTTCAAATACCTCTCCGATCCGCCGAAACTAGTGCAGTTTTGAACTTCCTAGTGGCAAAACGCCATTGAAAAGCAACAACGATCGGCAGCAGGTGTGAATGATTTACTGTTAACATGGTCGTAACACAAAAAAAAAAAAAACCAAAACGCTCCTTTCGATCATTCTGCGCTCCTCTCTCTTTCGCACAGCAAATACCCCAAAAGGCCCGCGATCCCCGATGTTACCGATATGTTAAAGCCGAAGTTGAAGTCGAACTCGACGCCTCTGCCGCAGTCGCAGTCGCTGCCACAGTGAGCGGCGGCAGAATGGCAACGGCAACGGTTTTCGATGGTTGGAGCGTTCATCATTTTGCCATTTCACGTTCAGCTGGCAGCGAAATCGAAAGTGATTGCTCCCCGAAGACCCGAGCTATATAAATAAATATAAAGAGGTCTTCAGAAAAAAGTCCATGGTACTGTCTAAAGATCCTCCAGTCAGGTGTGTGTGTGTGTGTTTGAGTGTTGGTTGGCCGTATAAAACGCGACTTAGCAGTGGCCTTTGAAGTCAAAACTCATTCGAAACTTGAGTTCGAAAAAGCCGCAAAAATCGTTAAAAGTGCCTCTAAGAATCTTTTTTATTTGTTTAATATTTTTTTGTAAGTTTTTGAAAGAGTTTTTTTTTTGTCTTTTTTTTTAATGATTTGTTAATATTTTTTTGTTAATTTTTTTATTGCCCAGCTTATCAGCACACACACCCTCACCGAATAAATTGATTTCCCCAATTGATTTGATTTTTTGTTGCTAACAAAAAAAAAAAATATCAACTCAAACACAACCAAAAATAGTGCACAAAACGTAAAATAAAAGTGAAAAGTGAAAGTGCAACTTGAAGAAATGACCAAAGTGAACAACATCAACAAAAACAACTAAACAACAACAAGCTAATGTGTCCTATGTTTTTAAACACATACAATATCCAAAGTGCATAACAATTAAAGATTTAACAAAAAAAAATCAATTTCTGTCATTCAATTTGTACACTTTGTTTACTGATTTTTACACCCATTTTTTTACTGTTTTTTTTTTTTTTCGTTGAAGCAGGCAGTTGACTTTCAAAAGTGTCAATAAATTTATGTAAAAAAGCAGTTAAAGAAAAAGTTGATATAACAGCATTGACAATAACAACAACAAGGAGAGCAACCTAGAAGCTACAGCAACAACATCAATCAGCTAAAAATGCTGTTTAAAATGTAAGTAAATTGTTAAAATAGATTAAATAACATAAAATTGTTCAGGGTGGGGAAAGCGGCTCAGAAAAAATGCTGGCGCCCAAGGTCAAGTTAACGATTTGGCGGATTACGCAAAGATTTTAGAGCTTATTAGCTGTTATTATAACAATATGTGGATTTTTAGTAACTCGTAGTTTTCCTTGGGAAACTCTATAATCTTTCATCGGAAAGCGGTCGTTTTATGCAACTATTTTAAAAGAAATCATTAGAATAGCAACAGGATAACACAGAAAAAAATATGGTATTTAAATTAAGTAACAATTAGCTTGAAGAGTTATACAATTTTCCAATTGCCACGATTCCCCAATTATTTTCTGAATATAATTAAGTAAACGTTAGTAACTGTCCACTAGTTCAGATAGCATAATTTCCAATTTTGGCCTGCAGCTGATTGCTAACCTTGGCCAATCACGCAGACAAATCGTCAATCAGTTGCTAAATATGCATAATGAAGGCGTGGCAATGATGCTTTTTATTGTATTTTTTTTCTTGGTTTTGTTGGTGTGCAAAAGGTCAAACCGGCAAGGTGCCGCGATCTCTCTTTCGGAAAGGTCAAAAATGCAGAAATTATATATATTTTATGCGGGGAACAATCGCAATAGCGAGAGGTGAAGTCAACAAACCTTTCGGAAAGACGGCGACGCATCCACTTAACAATGCAACTTACTTTACATTTCATGGCTGCTACAATATGGTTGTTGCTGTTGCCAATGTTGCTGCCGATTTAGCAGTTTTTTTTTTTTTTTTTTTTTGTTTTAAACTGTCTTATTCCCGCTTCACTGCCGCTCAAAAACGTCAATGGCCGCTGAAGATTGAAAAACCGAAAACCAAATTCCGAATCCGAGTTGAAGCTGAAGCGTTTGCAGATATATTTTTTCTCCCGTTTTTGGTCAAAATATATTGCCTAATTACAATACAAATTGCATGCCACACCCGCCAAAAGCTAAAAGGCGATCCGAAGCTTATATGCCCTTTACAGTCATCACAAATGACGGACAAAATTCATAAATAATATTGAAGCAATATTGAAGCTACGAAGATTTTTCTATAAATTTTCTGAATATGAATGCCAATAAGAAAAAAAACTACACCATAGTAATTTTTGTTTTTTTAATCGCCCCTTTCCGATTTCCAATGACTGCACAACTTTTGGTAAAGTAGTCTTTGAGATGTCTCCTTTACTGCGCTGCAAACTTCTGATTGAAATTATAATACTCTCTGCAAGGGTATAAAACATATTAACAGCAGCAGCGATTGAACACTCCCTTCCTCCGATATTTTAAATTGCATGAAGAGCACAGCACCAAAGAGGTGATTGATAATGAGCCACAAAGGGTTAAGATTGGGAGTGGAGTTTCGAGACGAGAAATGATATATCTACGATAATGCAATTTACAAAAAGCGATGGACCGTTGATAAGTTACTCTTCAATAATAAAGTTCTTGAAAAGATATGAAAACAAGGCTATTTAAAATTTTTTGGAGTGTAGTAATTAATGACACAAAGTCATCATCACTCAGCTTAGTTATTTTCCTCATTTAATTGCTTAGAGTCGCATAATACCAGTGGATTCGGTAAAACGCTTAAAAGAGTTAAAAAATGATCCAATTTTGTTGAAGGTGTTTTATGACAATCCAAGTCAAGGCAATCCTGCCATGAATGACTGTATATATATTGCATTGGAATTCGATTCACACATTCTGCGTGAGTCATTTGCAGATAATGTCTGAGCAACTAATTGAAGCTAATAAACTGCGGGGAAATTACGCAAGTTTTGGAGCAGAACCAGATTCAAAATAAATAAGAAGTTAAATGCAAATTAGTTGCTATTTTGTATGAATTCACACACACTTTATGAGTCGGTCAAAGTCCTAATTTGTTAAATTTAATGCTTTGAATGACATTCAACTATACAACCGATACTAACGATGTTTTCCTCCGACTAAATACGCAGTGTTGGCTACTACTTTGTTGCGATTACAGCAATTGTGAATGGGAATATATTTGCTGAGCGGTGTGCGCATTGTCATTTCATGCATAACATGGCCCAACCACCGCTAGACCCTTTTGCCGGGGAGACACCACAGCACCACTGCACCACTGTGCTGAACCACCACCACCACCACCAACAACAATTGCACGACGATGTGGCCATAATTATAACTTTTCTTGAAGTCACAGACTTATGGCTTTTGGCTATTGTTGAGCCGCCCGTTTTTGGGGCTGTTGCAATTAAAATAAGTTGAAGTTGTCTACCTTTGCTGTAAGGTGTTGCCAGCCCATGTTGCTCATTGGTTGTTGGCTGTTGGTTGTTGGTTGTTCACTGGTCCCCGAAAACGTGTTCGAGAAGTGAACGCTAGCCAGCTAGCCAGACTTGCACATAATTCAAAATGTTAAAAGTTATCGTCAAGAGCGCTCTGTTCACATGCACAGGCAAAAATGTATTGTACTTGGAGATCGTTTATTTCTTTTTCAATTTAAAATAAATTAAAATAAAAACCATATTATTAATAGGAGTATAATTTCCAATATAATTAATACTTGTTCTATAAATGTTCATATAGATATCTTCTTTTCTTGTGGTTTTCATGCCTCAAAAAAACGGAAAAACAGAATACTGATACTGGGGAGCTCTGATCTGGTTTGATCTGGTCTGGAATCGAAATGGGTTAACACCTTTTGTTTGTTTTGTTGGGGGAAAACCGGTTGAACCGTCCACTTTGCGACTCCTGGCTCTAGTTTCCCGGTCGCTTTGGATCCGTTTTGCCGTTTGCCTTGGGCATCGCTTTCATTGCATTGCAATGCGGATTCGCGGAGCCCAATGAACTATTGTGTGTGGTGCCGGTGGTGTCGGTAGTGGTGTCGGTGGTGGTGTCGGTGGTGGTGTCGGTGGTGGTGGTGCACGCTCTGCTCAACGGCTAGACATGATGGCCAAATCATGATCGCATGCGCAATCGACTTTGTGTGGCTAATGAAATTGTGAAAGGTTTTTCATGCCAGATAAGAGATGAGGCAGCATATCGAAGATCGCCAGCTGCTGGGGCTGAAAAGCCCACTAAAAACCGGCTAGCCGTGATCGCTGATTAAGAGCACGCGCCAATCAAAAACCAGAAAGAAAGGCCAAACGCACCTTATAGTCTGTTTAATACCCTACATTTATATGTAGGGTATATATAAATGATTTCAAAAAATCGTAACGTGTTCACTGGCAAACATTTTTTTCGATAGCCTAAACACTTTATTTCAAATTTTTCTGTGTTGTTACCGCTAAAGATAAAGCCCGATCTGGTTACCGAGTATTCAATGGAAGATTGATTAGGTTAGCCACAGCTGGAATCAATGGTGCGGAGTTTCCACTCAAGCTATTAAACTCAAGCAGGGGGGATTTTCATCACAGGAGGAATAAGCTAATTACTCTCAGTTAAATTATAATTCAGATTATCAACAAGATAGCTTAAAATTATTACTTAATCTGAAAAACGAATCCTCAATTTGAATAAAAGAAAATGTTAAGGATATAACTAGAATTAGATATTCAAGTTGGAAAGACTTTCGCTTATATTGGAATCATGTTTAAAATCGGAATTTACTTATTTTGTTTATATTTTTTATGGGAGTAATCAACCTTATCTTTATTTTACCGCATGTTTGCAGTTTCTTGTTGGCCTTTCTGGCCTCCCAATCCTCGGCAGACACCGTGGACCCCCTTTCGACATCTGCCAGTGAGAGCCAAATCAAGTTGGCCGAGGAAAATCCAGCCGCGGCGATTCCCTTTGAGACCTCGCACAAACATCCGGACGCCGCCGAGCGAGAGGAGGGCTTCCATACCGCCCACAGAATCAGCATAAGGGCCACAGATCCTTCGGACTATTCGATGAACCTGCTCCCCACCAAGGAGCGTCCCGAACTGAATCCAGTGTTGAGTGCCCTGATCAACGAGGATGTGATGAAGAGCATCGAGGCGAAGCGAGCCATCGAAGAGGAGGAACTTGCCGAGGTGAGACGTGAAATTGAGGAGGCCGCTCAAGCGGAGTTGGCCCAAAAACTGGCATCGGCGGCTCCTTCTACCACCACCGAGGCACCAGCTCCACTGCTGACCACGCTGCCAACAGCTGGCAAAAAGATCGATAGCCTCGACGAAGACATTGTTGTGGATCCGCACGAAGAGTTCGTCAACCAGAACTTTGCCTTGGAGGGTGCGGGCAGCGAGAACAGCAAGAAATCCCGCATCGAGATCAAAAAAGGGACCCAACGGCCAGGACTACGAATACGAGTATGTCTACTACTACGAGGAGGACGAGGAGCCCAGCAAGGCGGAGGCATCTGCCGAGCCCGAGACGCGTGGCAAGACCAGGTACACGAACATCGAGAGGAGCACGCCGGCGACGCCGAGTGAGAACAGCCTGCAGAGCGGCAAGGCCAAGGGCAGATCCTCCGACACCTCCGAGGACATTGAGGCCGAACGCCTGCCCATGATCACAAGGTTCCCGAGTCGTGGCAAGAACATTGAAGTGCCTCCGACGCCGGCCTTGGATTCCCTGGAAACCGCCGCCGAGCGCAAGAAGATCAGTGTGAAGCGCCCGAGTCTGGAGCTGGTGGACAGTGCCACGTTCAACACCGACGAGAAACAGACCAAGGCCACACGCAAGGGCGGCGAGAATGAGCTGAAACCGGTGATTGCCATCGAGCAGGAGGAGGCGGCGGCCAGGAAGAAGGAGCAACAGGCCAAGGAGCAGCTGGCCAAGGAGGAGCAAGCCAAAAAGGAGCAAAAGGAAAAGCAGGCGGACGACAGCCCGACAGCCGATCAGGAGGAATCCGAACAGACCACGCCCTCGATGGAGAAGGCCGCCCTCGATCTCTATGCCATATTGACCAATGAGAACCTTAACAACGAGCAAACCACCGCAATTGCCGACACCGAAGGATCCGAGGGTGTTACCACCTTTGCACCAGACACCGCCAGCACGGACGAAGATGAGGCCGGCGGTCTGACCACGCTGATCGATGAGATTTCGTCAACCAGCACAACCACCACGACCACAACCACCACCACTACGACCACCACAACGGAGGCACCCACTACCACAACGACCACCACTACGACCACAGCAGCTCCTTCGCTCTTCGGAGGCCGAAGGGCCGGATTGAATGGCCTGGCCGGGCGCAATCGCTTCAAGTTGAACAGGTCTGAAGGCGGCAGCACCACCACCAGCACCACTGAGGCACCCACAGCCACCGAACCAACCAAGACTGGTAGAAGTAAGTTTGATAGGGGAAGCCTCCCAGAGTTCAAAGGTTAAATATCTATTTGTTTAGATCGTTTCTCGCGTCCCTCGATCGGAGGACGTGCTCGTCCTGGAGCTCGCACCACCGCACCACCAGAAGCCACATCGCCAGCAGCTCCCTCGGCCGAAGAGGAAGTGGTGGTTGCCAAGGAAGTGAAGCCTGTTAGCACTGGCTTCGCCAGAGGCAGACGTAAGTAGTGTTCGAAAACGAATTAAACATCAAAACTAGTTTTTCCTAATGGCTACTCTAATCGTGCCACTGAACTATCTGTTTTAAATATCCCACTTTTAACAAAAGCCACTCATACATATTTATCAAAGTTTAGTATTAAAATGCAAAGAAATGAAGTAATAATTTAGTAGCATCTCACGATTTAATATTGTCTCTTTATTTTCAATGGTTTTACATCAAACATCAAACATTTTACGTTTTATGTTTTGTTACTTTTTATACTTCTTGCGACACCAAAAATAGGAAAAAAAATATGTGAAATTAGCTAATATGCAATATCAAATAGGTTTTAAATAAAGCACTTAAGTGTTGGGTTATTAGCATTTAACCTTCATCTTATAGTTACTGACTTTTTAAACTGGGTCAAGATCACGAGCCCGAAATTCAATTTCAGGCCCTATGGAAAGTAAACTTTAATTTACTTTAATTCGCTACGAATTTAAAGTGGAGTGAAAGCATTAACTCAGGGCTATTGAAAGTCTTTTGGAATCAATTTAATCAAAGCTTCCCCTGGTTCTTTTTTTTTAGCGCGCAACCGCTTTAACCTGCGTGGATCCACCACGACGAGCACCACCGAGCGTCCCAGCGAGGACTCGCCCGCCGAAGGCGACTCTGCCGGAGAATCCGCTGCCCCCTCCTCGACCACAGCCAGGAGCACCTTGAGAGGCCGCCCAGGACTGGCATTGCGTGGCCGTAGTCGCACCACCACCACCAAGGCCCCCGCCAACGCAGAGGGCGGTGAGGCGGCCGAGGGTGGCGCCACCACCAGCTCTGAGGAGGCCAAGTCTGCGGCGGCTGCACCCGCTTCGCCCGCGGAGCCAGTGCGTCCGTCTCGCTTCAATCTCCATCGCGCCGGCGGCAATCGCCTGCTGCCCCGCGGCAAACTGGGACGAGCCGGAGCCAGCACGGAGGCTCCGAAGGAAACTTCACCTGCCGAGGACTCTGCCGCCGATAGCAGTAGCCACCACAATGACGTCAAGGAGGAGGAGGCGGGCGGCGAGGCCGGCGAAAAGGGAAGCGATGCGGGTGGTGATTCGGCTGCCAGTGCTCCGGCCGCTCCCGTTTCCGGGCTGAATCGCCTCAAGACCCGGCCACGCCTCAACGCCCTCACGCATAAGACTGATGCGGTCAAGCCAAAGGCGGCCGCAGCCCCCGCCCCCGTGCCAAGGAAGATCAACCCCCTGCTGGCCAAGCGACGGCTCCACCTGGGAGCCACATCCACCACAGGTAACGACAAGCAAACACAAAGGGTTAAAGAAACTAAACTAATATAATGTGTTCCGTTCCCATTCAGAATCCCCTGCTGAGGAGGAGCAGTCATCGTCGGACGCTTCGGGCGAACAGCCCGCCAAGGAGGAGGCGTCCGCCGGCGGAAGCGACGAGTCCGGCGGAGAGGGAGCCGGCAAGCAGGAACAGGAAACCACGGAGGCGACGGAGGCAACCACGAAACAGCAGGCCCGTGGATTGGGACTTTTGGGACAGCGTCGTCGCTTGCCGCTCCGCAAGCCCGGAACGATCCTGTAAAGCCAGTAAAGCCAAGCCACTACAATCCAATCCACACAGATCGCCATCCGCCCCATTGAATCCTGAATAGAATACTCGTCACGATTCGCTGCTGCAAACTCCTACATACAAGAAACAAGAAAAATAGGGATGATGGCCCACACAAGCGATAATAACTCTTAAAAATTGTTTGATATATGTACGTCCTTTAAGATTTCACCTCCTCGTACTCCTCCTCCCCAAGGACTCGTTAGCTTTGTAAACATATTACACTAATTAATCTACTGATAAGTGCGGATATACTATGTAAGTAAGATCCCTCTTTGCGCCAAGAGTAAAGTCACCAAAACGGAAAAATGGAGCGAGACGAAGAACGAGGAGATCCAAGCCACTCGTAGACCACTAAGCACAAATCCCCGACAAAAATGTAACTAAGATGCGAATAATGAACCCTATGATATGAACCATTATGCATGTCGTCTCTATATGATATATGATGTATCCTCCCCGACCTTGCCCCCTCCTTTTTCTTTTGATCAAGCATCCAAATCGTCGCGTGCATAGCAGATACATTTATTATTATATTTTTTTTCTGAGATACAATTATGAACAAAAACGACTTCTAATTATATATTGAATAAAACAAAAGAAAAAACATGAAAATTGAATTGAACGCTTTGTATGACTATAATTTGGTTGGGTTCAAAATAAATAATCTTACCCCAAACATAAACTGAACGATATGGCCGTAAAATGCTGACCTTTACCTTGATTGTGGGTTTCCACATCTACGATCTCGATCTCGATCTTTTAGCGCATTCATCTCTGGTTTTATATGTTGGCCAAACATTTACCCAACGATAAGTAACGCGCTGAAGTTCTCAAACAGCACCGAACGATGTCAAGAACAATCGATGCAATATATATGTACATACTATATATGTATGTATCTTATCTGTTTAACTGCTTTAGCAGTTAGCTACTTATGTGGAGTATAAATATGTGAAGAATAAACTTGGAGCTCATTAGATTGAGTGCAGCATTATGTCGAGTCGGTGGATTATTTTTTTACTACTTGCTGCTTTGGTGATAATCCTCTCACCCGGAGTTGAAAGTGAAAATCACTCCGAGAAACTTTTGAAGGAAAGCACTCAACAGTTAAATCTTATCTTGGAGTCTATTAATGAACTCGAGCGTCAGCGAATACAAGAAAAAGAAAATGGAGCTAACCTTAACTCGGATACAAGTAAACAGCGACCAAACAGCAAAAAATTAAGATGGAATCGAAGAAGGACTCTTCCCGATCCCGGTGAGCCTGAGGAAAGTGAGAATCGTGCATTGGTGACTTCTACCTCAATTGTTCAGACTGCCCCAAATCCAGATTACCTTAATGTGAACAATTATCTTGCGACTCCAGCTCCGTGGTGGTTTAATTAAAAATAGTTACCTAATTTTAACATTTTTTTTCCTATTTTTAAGTGCTGATGTAGTTAATACTAAATAATAATAATAAATAATAATAATAAATAATAATAATAAATAATAATAATAAATAATAATAATAAATAATAATAATAAATAATAATAATAAATAATTATTTTGCATATTGCTTTCTGTAATTGATTTGATAGGCATACTAGATATAAAATCTTTATATTTTTAAACATTTGAGTAAATTAGGTATTTTGCGTAAATAATTATATTTAAAAAGTAAAGTTTATATCTCGGCCTACTCTACATTTGACATTATATATCCATGCATTTTACAGCTAAGCAATTTAACTTGATATCGATTCACGATCCTTCGGAGCTTTTTAACTTTGAAAGGCCCAAGACATTCACCAAATATCATTTAGCTTTGAAGCCAAACTTTTTATGAGTAAGCTAACCTAACTGGCAAAAAGTCCATTGGTTATGGAGACTTTGGATTAACGATTTGGAAATCCCATCGATTCAGTTTACCATATAGTTAAACCACAGCGAACCGGTTCCGATAGGAACTTGGGAAATGATTGGCGATTTTGGCCCATGCTTTGTGGCTCAATTTGTTTGCTTTGATTCAGTCCGATTCGATCGCAAAGTGAAATGTTAGCATTAATTGATTGATGGATTGATGCATTGGTCGGCGAATATCGCTAACGGAATCGAAACGGCTTCAGCCTTGTGGGCAGAGGGCAAAAAAACGGGGTGTGGTGGGTCACTCAGTCACTCGGACAGTTGCTTTATTTTGCTAATTTGCGAATTGTTTCGGGTAACTGGATATCCGTATCGGGGTGTCTATTTGCGAGATTTTAAAATATCGTATTAAAACGAAACTCTTATTTAATATAAATATCAATTTTCTGTTTTTTAATGTAACTTGAATTCTTAAGTAAAAATACGTTTTATGGAACAATACACATTTTATGAAACAATATAAAAATGTTATTAAACTGTCATTAAGGGTACTCCCATCTTCGACCACTTCAAGCAGATTTTTGTTACTGTTTCACTATCCAATTGAATTCAATGGTAGAAGTACATTCATTGCGGCTCTATATACATTTTTGGAGCAAATCATTGTTAGCCTTGACACCGGGGCGTATGCGTAATCGCCCCCTAAAAAAAGGCAAACGAAAAGCCAAAGCGGAACTCTTGGCTTACTGGTTTTACTTGCGAACCATACTTATTTCCGCTGCTATGGATCTTGCAGATCTTTCTATAACTGATGCAACACAAATGACGGTAATATCGAAGTCTGTGCTAAAGCACATTTTCTTTCTGTGTATTGCACTTTCTGCCAAGCGTGTTGTCAAAAAGCAAGTAAGCAGAGCGTGGCGAAACGCAAGGTCGATCGTTTAGCTTGGCTAAAGCCTACCCATCCAGCTGGTAATTCTCCATAAAAACCACCACCCCACTTAGAACTCCGTTTAGCAGCAGTTGTTCAAACAAAAATTTAAGTTTGTTCAGCTTCCGTTGATAATTAGCCTATAGCTAAATTATTAATTGGTCAAGACAACGGCAAAGTTTTTATTCATAATTAGAGGCATATAATTTGGATTTCGGCACAGTTCTTCACAATGCCAGATCAAAAATAAACGAAATCAATAATTGCTGACGGAAATCCAGCGGGGGGGCGTACAAAAATAGTGAATCATTACACCACAATCCATTGATTTCTTACTAATCTTGCTGAAAATATTATTGAAATACATTAAAAGATATTCTGCACTTCAATACATATTTTCAAAGAATCTCCCGTTCAAATCACTTTTAAAATATTGATCTTTTTCCCCATCAACCATGTTTATCTCGAGTTTCGTATTTCACATTCAAGATCGACTCAAGGAAGTCCCAACGTCGCTATCTTCCAAGAAGAGTTTCCAAATGGCTAATTATACCATTAACCAGGAGGAAGCCGACCAGTGGCTTAGCTGCAGCGATTTAAATAGTTTTAAATTGATAACTAATTGCGGCAAGGCGAGTGCCAAAACTAGACAGCGGACGACATGGCTGTGACGTTTTCAATGTTCCAACATGGCAACATTGCAACTCTTTAGCCAATTTAATTGGCAGCCAAAGCGACAGCGGCAGTAGCAACAACCGCTTTTCACCAGGAAATCAATAAGCGGTAATGCAACCAAAACAACAAAAAAATAAAACTCACAGCACGCACATCTCAATTTCAGCAGCAGAAAAAACCAAGATACAAATCGACTCCGGCCAGCTCGATTTCGCGTCCCAAAAAATAAAAATAAAAGCAAATATAGCCTACATTTCTTGATATGTGAAAAGACAAATAATGCTGGTAGGAAAATACGCAGCAAAACAACTGGAGTTCTAGTTATGATTAAGATGTTAGAATATAAAAAGCAGGAGTGAGTAACTTTCTTCACTCACAAATCGAAAAGAGGTTCAAACATGAAGCTGCTCTACCAATTTGTCCTGGGTTTGGTCCTGCTCCTCGCCATAATGAGTTCTTTGACTCGTGCTGATCCTTCGGAAGACAACAAGTCGAATGAATCCCTATCGGGAAATTCGGAGTCGGATGGATCTGTGCCCGATGACGCCCAGCAGGATTACCTAAATGTGGCCGACTTTACCACCGCTTCTCCTCCATGGTGGTGGAATTGATCAACTAAGCATTTGATCAACAATTATTTATTAACGATTTGTTTTTGTTATCAATGTATTTAAATCCAAGCAAAAAAATTTATTAAAATATTGATTCAGAAAGTGCTTCTTTATAAATATTATCCACTTACTTATTGAAAGCTACTTATTATGGATGGTAAATGTTTTGACTGCTGGAAAAATATTGTTCATTTCATAAATGCACAGAGTGGAATTGAATGGACTAATCCAGTTTATGCCAAGTATATCATTCGCATATACTTACACTTATCTTTTTCTCGATCAAAACTAATGGAAATGTTTGCCTTGAAAAGATCAGGCGATTATTAAACGATTTTCGCCCGATTACCACATTAAGTGGCTTAAATACCCATAAGAAATGCAACCAACGATGGCTTAAGATAAATAAGTCGCTCATAAATTTCGAATGCAACCCGCTGATTTATGCACTCCTCGAAGCGATCCATGGAAATCCATGCTGTTAGGCTTTTTCGACCACTGATTTTTCCGCTTGCATGAGACAAGTGCACCGCAATTGCAGGCAAATTATGTATGAAGTAATGTTTCGTGCAAGTTTACACAGAAATCAACTTACGCCAACCTCTATTCACCTACATATGTATGTGTTGAGTTTTTCGCAGTGAGCAAACCGTGATTTATTTATCCCGAATAAGGATGCCATTTTCTATAGCCAAAACTCACTAATTACAATTATCAATTCAAATAAGGACTACAGAAATATTTAGCGCAGTGCATGTCAAATGGGGACGTTTGCTATGGGTGCCTGTGTAGTCAGGAAATCTCTGCGGCCTGTCTGATTTTCACCAAGACAAAAAAATCCGGCTCAAAGGAGGGGAGGATTCGGCGGCGGTCAGGGCCATGGACGTTGAACTTGAAAACACTGTCCAAACAACGAACGGAAAATGCTGTGTGTGGCTAAGGTTAGAGCGGTGGGGCAACAGGTTTACTGTCTGCCAACGAAAGATGGAGATCCAAACTGGCAATCTGGGGGGAAATGTCCAGTTGAGTCCCAGGCTGCCATAAGTGGGAAAAAAGGAAAACAAAACATAAAACACGGGCCGGGCAATGTCATTCGGTATTTCGTTTTATTTTCCGCCCCAAATCAAAGTGATCCTGTGTGTAAATAATGTCTAATGTTTGGCTGGCTGCCAGTTGCATAAGCGGTTGCCGCAATTATGCCAAAGAGATTCAATTTTTTTTTTATTTTTTTCGTTTTTGTTCCGTTGCAACTTTGTGGCTGTTAGCGCGCGCCACTTGATAATGTTGTTTTGTTTCGTGTGCCGGCGCAGAAAACGAGTTTCAATTATTGGGAAAAGCGCGTATAAATCATCGCTTAACGGCGAAAACCGTACCCCAAAACCAACCGAAAATAAAAGCAAAACATAAACCGCATCCCACATGACAAACTTAAAAAGCAAAAAAAAAACAAGTCAATTCGATTAAAATTATAGGTTCGACGATAGATAGATATTCGGTTTCGTTATGCAACACGCACAATTAATTAACGAAAACGCACTGGTTATTTTAAGTGTTGCATTTTATGTACCTGGCGATCCCATTCAATTCAGGCTGCATTAGCCGTAATTATGTGCAACATATTTTACGAGTCTAGCGGGTTTATGTCATTTTCCGTGGGTGAGCCAAAAACTAGAATACGGTCAGGTCAGGAAAGCATATAATTAGCATCCACTGAAACCAAAGTCAGGCCTTGAGAAAATAATAATTTATTCTAAAATATACGAATCTTATTTTAAACTAACACAAGAGTTTTCCGAAAAGAACAATTTTTTTTCTAATACTAACCACATGTTAATAAAGTTGCTTTTATTTATTTACGATAAATAATGCCGGGTTTATGAATCGTAAAAGTTCGTTTGCACCAAGTGCAGGTTTGTGAAATGTAAGATTAATGCAAACCACTTCATCAGTGGAGGTCGTAAAACGTATCTTTACTTATTTGGCTTGGCCATTATGCGTGCGGCTAGTTGTGTTACTTTTTATTACCGACCAGGTGCAGTTGATCCAAAAGAGATATGCCAACGCCGATTTTTCGAGTTTTCGCATTTGCCTGCGGCGATGGCCATTAGAGCATTACCCACTTAGGGCGCTCCCAAAATCCAAGTGATCCACAGGGACCACAAAATTGCGAATTACAACCGACAGCCGAATGGTTCCTCCGTTTGAATACCTTCTGGTTATGTAAGCTGTTAAAATATGGGCACATGCTAAAAATCACCTGCCCATAATTAGCGGAAACAAAAAGTTTGACCCTCGGTAAATTGTGAATCATCGATACTTCCAAATCGAAATTTAAGCTAAAGCAATTCAATCGAAATCAGCTCCAGTAATTCCAATTCAAATCTGCACAAGAAAGACCAATACTCTGCAATACTCTACATCAAATTAAACTAACAATAATAAATTTTGTTCTTAATGCGAAAATAAACAAGCGAACAGCCTAAAAGTGGGCTCAAATAATTTAATTAACAGAAATGGCATAAAAGTAAAAAAAAAAATTATTTAACATAAAGCACTAAATATTAAAAATAAAGAACAAATCACATTTTATATTTTTTTATTTTATATGCAAAGTGTAAAATGTATATTATATATTCAGAGCTCTCTTTGTTCCAAAAGCCATACCCTTTCAAAAAAATTAAAAAAATGGCAAGCCCAGCGAAAGGTTTTGGCTGATTCAGTTAATTTCAGGGGCTCGAGAGATACTTGTATTTATTAAACATGCGTGAAAATCAATCATGGAAGACAAAAGCCACGCACAAATGCCCGAATTTGCCCGATCCATGGGAACCACCACATAGACCAACCGAACCACTGAAAACCACTGAACCACCGAACTATCCAAGATATCCGAAGTCGGCGCCTTCGTGTACGTTTTCATTGGCCTGTCTTCGTCTTCGGAGCAAAAAAAACTTCATATAAAACGTGGCCGACATTAAATGGCCAACAGTCGTTAGCGCGCCACAGTCCACAGAAGAGGATTAAAAAACAAATCCGAAATACTGAAAAACTAAAGAATCCTCATAGTAGAACGCCTCGAGTATTTAACTCTATACCCTTTTTTTTTTTTGCCAACCAATTTTGGCCCAAGTGATTGGTGTGTTTGTTTGCCAAAAAAAAAAGAGTAGTGCCATGTTCCAGGACAAAGGATGGATCCTGGTGACCCTGGTCACCTTGGTGACTCCCTCGTGGGCTGCCTACAAGCTGCAGGAACGCTACAACTGGAACCAACTGGACTTTGCCTTCCCCAATGCCCGACTAAAGGAGCAGGCCCTTGCCAGCGGCGATTATATCCCCCAGAACGGACTTCCAGTGGGAGTGGAGCACTACGGGAATCGGTTGTTCGTGACCGTTCCGCGCTGGCGAGATGGTTAGTAGAGAACCCACGAGGTTTGTCTCGGTGTTCAATATCGTTTTGGCAACTGCATGCAGATTGCAGGCCGGTTCGCCTGATTTTGGGCGTCATTAGCACTTACAAATTGAGTGTGGAGCCGGGGTGATTGAGGAATTCCTGACGGTTGACAGTTTGTACATGGTTCGATTGACCAACTTGGGTTGCAAGCAAGCGACAACTTGTACCATATAGAACTTACAAGCGATTAATCGGTGTTGTAAACAAATTTATTTCTGCACTTGATTAGAAAATGGTTTTTCAAAAATTTAGAGATATTGCTTGGCTGCTTTCATGTTGATAAAAACTTGTGTTTTTTGTGGCAATTTAAGATACAACTTATTTTAAGTTTATCCGACTGCCAAAGAATTTTTGAAAAAATATCCCTTGAAGTGACAAACCTTTTGGGTGGGCTTTTGTTTGTTAGATTTCAGCAGCACGTTGACCTCTCGTAAATCCGGTTGATACTTGCGTGCTGCATTTGTATATGAATACTTTAAACAATTAACCGTTGTAAAATCGAAGCCAATAGCGCGGCATTGGCATTATATAGGTATTAGGCATTAGGTATTATATGACCGACCATCCGAATTGTGAAGGCTTCTTCAGGGTCACTACACTAAAATGGAAATGGAAATCCAATCACAATAACTTATTATGGCATTATGCCATTAACCATCATGATTAGCTTTCCGTTGTATCAAAGTGAGAGTTGCACAAAGTCTAAATACAAAGTTATTGTTCTGCGGCTAAAAGACTATTTCACACACAAATTAGCAACACGCTTCGTTTCAGGATTTTGCAAAGTATTTCACAAATCAATCGCTGAGATAATATTGCACTGGCGATGGGGAATAGTTAATCTTTACGTATGGCTTACATTTGAAAATATTTAATAACATTTCGACTGTGATTCATTTTTGAATCTAAAATAAAGTTTTGGAGTGCCTCAAGTTAAAGTTAAATAAAAACCTAGAAGGCCAAGTAGGCAAAAAACAAAGCCGAAACAAAAGTACGTGAAAGTTGTGGCAATGCGGAATATTTTGAGGCACGCTTCAATGGCCATCGAAGCAAATCAATTAGTCAAAGCAAATCGGCGGTGGCAGCAACAGGTTAAAAAACACCCAAAGTTGACAGTTATGATCTATGATTAATGGGACTTTTTTAGCCAGGCAAATCTAATTCCATTCGACAATCCCCCGATGAAGGGCATCTCGGCTCGTATAAATCAGATCCGATCGCAAAATAAACCGACAGTTATTGCAGAATTATTTGAACGCTGCGGGTTCCCACATAAGTAATGAGCTATGCGACAGGATTGCCAATAAACTGGAGGCTTAGAAATTGAAATTGAAACGAGAATGCGATTGGAAGAAACTGGAACCGAGACTGAGAGTTGCAAACATTAAATGGCCGGATAACGACTCAACACAGCTCGTGTTTCATACAGATTCATTAGTCCATAGCCATTGAACGACCAACCGGGCGATTATAAAAGCACTTGATCCATTGAGACACCGAGTGGACGCATTAACCACTCGATATGTGTGGCCCAATCCGAGATTATGAATACTGGATATCTCGCAGGGGGCGGAGACTTAAAATCTGATTAAGTCTATAAACAAGCCAGCATGCCAACACTTTAGTTAATTGTCTGGGATGTCAACAAATTACGAGTACTTGTAGAAAAAAACTGGTTTCCAGAAAGCTTAAATGATTTGCTAAAACACTTCTAGTTATCAAATAGTTAATGAAAAAAAATTACAACATAATTTGTCCATATTTTACCGCACCTTGCTATCATATCCAAGCCAATCGTATAACACAATTCACTAATTCACAGAGAAGCTAATAGGCGCTGATGGGGCGGAAAAATCGCTGTCAACTATATCACTTAAACGCTGATTCATGGGCGAATCGAATGGGCGGCCCCCAGTCGCAAGAAGAAACCAGAAATGCCTGGAAACTCAATTAACCAAGAAATATATAGGAGAGAAGCAACTGGAGCGGAAATCAGTCAAGACACCGGCGATGGCGATAGATGCATCGCATATACTATATATATATTGATGATGATGTCAGAGCTAGCGGCTGAATTGCTTCAGTGTGCCGGCTAATGACATCGGAAATTGCACGCAACTTGCAACTTGCAACAGTGCAACACACATGAGCCAATTTGCGGCTCATGCCACTTGCTGTCAAGTTTGTTTGAGCAGCGCCTCTCCAAATATAGAACTTCCAAAAATAGTATAATCCCAGAAATTAATTGAGTCGTTAGCTCACCGCAATGGTTTTTAATTGAAAGTTCCTGCTGCTACCTGCATAATATATGGCCAACACCTTAACGATTTCTGGCGCGTTTAAAGTTTTTATTAGCTTTTTGAAAAGAGAATCTAATAAATTATCATTTCACGTAAATAATCTTGCGCTCAGCAGACTCTGCAAGAGGAAACTAGAAAATAATTATTTAATATTTCTGAAAAAGCATTTACACTCACTACCAGTTGCAGCATTATTACTTTTTTATTAGCCAGTTTTATGGAGTAAGCTACTAGAAAAACTAGATTCATTTATTTGAATCAACTATTGCTCAATGCAAATGAATAACAATAATTTTTATTATCGCTTTTAATGAATCCACCTTTCACTGAGGGTCTGGCAAATACCAATGGTTTTGGTTATAAATGATTTTTTTCTTTCTTATAGGAATTCCGGCCACCCTGACGTACATTAATATGGACCGCAGTCTGACGGGTTCGCCGGAACTGATTCCGTATCCGGATTGGCGTGCGAATACGGCGGGAGACTGCGCCAATAGCATAACCACCGCCTATCGCATCAAAGTGGATGAGTGCGGTCGTTTGTGGGTTTTGGATACCGGAACCGTGGGCATTGGCAACACCACTAGGAACCCGTGTCCGTATGCCGTGAACGTGTTTGACTTGGCCACGGATACGAGGATTCGGAGATACGAGCTTCCCAGTGTGGACACCAATCCGAATACGTTTATTGCCAATATTGCCGTGGACATTGGCAAGAACTGCGACGATGCCTTCGCCTACTTTGCCGACGAATTGGGTTACGGCTTGATTACCTACTCCTGGGAGCAGAACAAGTCCTGGAGGTTCTCCGCCCACTCCTACTTCTTCCCGGATCCGTTGAGGGGAGACTTCAACGTGGCCGGCATTAACTTCCAGTGGGGCGAGGAGGGTATCTTTGGTATGTCGATTTCGCCCATTCGGTCGGATGGCTATCGCACCCTGTACTTTAGTCCCTTGGCCAGTCATCGCCAGTTTGCGGTCTCCACACGGATTTTAAGAGATGAAACCAGGACCGAGGATAGTTATCATGACTTTGTGGCCCTGGATGAGCGAGGTCCCAATGGTCATACCACTTCGCGTGTGATGAGCGACGATGGCGTCGAGTTGTTCAACTTGATAGATCAGAACGCCGTTGGATGCTGGCACTCATCGATGCCCTATTCACCCCAGTTCCATGGCATTGTAGATCGCGATGATGTGGGCCTGGTGTTCCCAGCCGATGTGAAGATTGACGAAAACAAAAACGTCTGGGTTTTGTCGGACAGGATGCCCGTTTTCCTGCTCTCCGACTTGGATTATGCCGACATTAACTTCAGAATTTACACCGCTCCTTTAGCTTCCTTGATCGAGAACACCGTTTGCGATTTAAGGAACAACGCCTATGGACCACCCAACACGGTTTCCATACCCAAGCAGCCCGCCCTGCCGATCGGTCCTCCCTTGTATAATAAACAATACCGTCCTGCCTTGCCGCAGAAACCCCAGACCAACTGGGTGTCTTCGCCGCCGCCCCCGAGTCGCACTTACTTGCCCGCCAGCCAAGGCAACGTGGTCTCCAGCATCAGTGTTTCTTCCAATGCGGTGGGTCCCGCCGGCGTGGAGGTTCCGAAGGCCTACATTTTCAACCAGCACAACGGCATCAACTACGAGACCAGCGGTCCACATCTCTTCCCCAACCACCAGTCCGTTCAGGCCGGTGGACAGGATGGCCTGAAAACCTACGTGAACGCCCGCCAATCTGGATGGTGGCACCACCAGCATCAGGGCTAATGGAGACGCATATTGGTGCACGGGTATCTTCTCACTCACTCGCTTGTTGTATAGGTTATTTAAAGACAAATGCACTCATACAGATCGAACCATACATAATCCCAGGGCAACAGCGGATATTTGATAAAACTCACACGATGAAATTCACCTAGTTCTGTATTTAAGCAAGAAATAAAACTATTTTTTTAAACATATAGCTTTTATTATTAATTTTTCTTTTGAAAAATAGCGTATTTTGCTTATAAAGCCAGAAATCTGTACAGTTTCAATTTCCTATTTGTGGTTAATGGTTTCCATAGCATACTTTGATGATTTCAGCCGATAGGTGGCGTTTTGTTAGTTTATCCAACAGATATTTAAAAGAAGAAGACTATTTTTGGGGGTATAAAATCTACAAGCAAACCCGTTTTCAATCCCGGCTATTGGCATGCAAATGCCAATATATGTAAGGATTTAATACATAATTGCAATTGGGGGCCCCATATCTCGGATCTCAGAACCATAAAACCAACAAAGCCCACACAGAAAGAAAAATCTCTATGGGTTTGAAGTCAGTTTGATAATTTTGTGTATCAATACAAGTATTTAGAGAGAAAATATTAAAAATGGCAAAAGGAAAACTGGCTTTCATTGAATAATGTTAAAAGCTATTCAACCTGCGATTATCATATTGATAACGAGGGGTTTTTTTTCTGTGCAGCAACGATTATTCACAACACCCCACATCCTCGCAATGATTTATGCTCCCAGGTTCGGGGGCGTGGCATTTTGTCCAACTTTCGAAAAACAAACAGAGGAATAAGGCGCAGGCCACATTTATTTACTTAGTGATTACGGACGGACATGGATGGACATTCAAAAAAAAAAAAAAAAAAAAAAAAGAAAAAAGCCTCCTGTGCGAAACACTTAACGCCAAAAGTGAGCAAAACAACACTTGCTCTATTAACACGCCAGACTGTCTGATATTTATTGGTCAACATTAAGGCAGTTGGCTTAACGAGAAACGAAAATCGGTACGTGTGGCTAATTTGCGGTTGAGGCAGGATGATGATTTACATAGCCAAAAAATAAAGGCAAACCGCAGCCCATGCAAATTAAAGAAATGCTCCCTTTTTTTTTGGTTTGGCGAAAACAAATATTGAGATAAGAGTCGTGAAGCCCTATAATTTGAGTTATTCAAATGCCATAAATCCGCTCGACCGAACGAGCTGCTAATTTCACGTTAGACGCCCTTTAATTTCACGCTGCCATTTGTGGCTTCCGTTTCGCATGTGTTTTGGCTGCTAATTTTCGGGATTTGCATTTCCAATTCACATTCAATATCCTGCTGGTTCATAATTACGCCAAAACAAGCGCAGTCGCCGACGATCTTGTTTAATCAGCTTAACTAGCTGATTTCGCTTAATTTTTGAGTTTAATTGAAGGCGCCATCTCATTCCTAGTTCCAACTGAACTGCCGCTGTGATGACAGCAAAAAAAATCCACAGCAGCGGCTACAAAGTCAACTCAAGCTGTTTTTCGTGCCTCTGTATATGATTAAGTCTTTCCGTTTAGCCACTGAGGAAAAGTAGATTAAAAACACTATAAACATTCGACTATCAGGAGCTTTATGCGTATTAATCGAAGATTTAATTGACTTCTGAAGGTCGAAGGAAGGCGTGAAATACAAGCTAGGGGGTCGCATAAAAAGTGATATGAGGAGCGGAGCCACAAAGGCTTTTTAAAACAGCCTTTAATCGCTTAATAGCTTTGGTATTTTATGGAGCTTTAAACAACATGTTTGTAATGTTTTCCAATTTTTTGTAAAGAAGATCTTGCGCTAATTGAGCATAATAGGAAGAGAGATCTCGATTGGGAGCAGGGAAAGTGCAAGTTAATCGCTCAATTCGCGATCTTCGGCCCCATGGGATGCGATGATTGTTTTGTTGCAATTGAAATTTCATTTTAATGGACGCAGTTTATGACATCAGAAGGGGGAAACCGCGAAATTGTAGGGCAAAAGTCGATGTTGGTGGTAAGATCGTAAAAGAAGAGCCCAGAACAGAACCAGAAACCAAAAAACCAAAAAACAGCGATAAGGATAGCGAGCGTGTAGCCGCACAAAAACCGAAAAGATATACAATTGTATCTACAGGTAAAAGGAAGGCAGACAACTTGTGCAGCTGGATGAAACTAATGCACTTGCAGTCCAATCTAATCGTTTGCCAAATGTCAAACGAGTTTCATTCATGAGGCGATACCCCTTCCCCCTTGAGACTTCTTTTCCCTTTTTCCCATCCTAAAATTGTGAGAGAGTTCATTCATGGAGGAACGTGGTGATAAGTCCGGTTCTGCGGAGATTAATTTCGTCCGGCTCTTCATTTCCGATATGACAAACACGCGTGAAGAGCGTCAAACGGTTTTTTTTTTTTTTTCGGAGCCCTTATCGTCATGGTTTAATTAAAAGGTTATTCTTGTAGGCAGGATAACACTTTGGCCGCAAGGATTCGATTGAGTTGTCTGCGCCGAGGGTATTTATTCAGGCCCTTATCTTAAAGACTTTCTGACCTTGTCTCGCAAACGAAAGACGTAAAACTGAAAGGCGACCGCAGAGATGTGGAAACGGGAACTCCACGCATACACTCGACCACAAATATTTATTCACATGGCCAGGTGAGAATTGACAAATTTCCATTTCGTCAATTCAATCAATAAAGCTAAAGCTAAAAAGCAACACCTCAAAATGAAACTGCGAAATGAAAAAAATGAGTGGCCAAGGCCGCTCGAAAACCGCTTTCAATTAAATTGGGGCACACTTTTGCCTGCGGTCATCGCAACGTCATCATCATCATCCTTGTCGTCATAATCATCATACGCCGGTGCCTCAGGAGTGAAAATGAAATTGTTGCCCCAGGCGGGGCGTCCAAAAGTCCCCAGCTCATCCTCCTCGAAAACCCAGCAGCAAAAACACAAGCGGCAGAAATTACAAAAAAAAATATCGAATCGAGAAGATCTGAAATTTCCAGTACCCTTCCGCAGATATGAAATTAATTTCCATCATTCATTTAATATTTTCCAAAAAAAAAGCGTTATGAATTATCATAAATATTGTGAGGCGAATTCTATTTTTGTAACTAACTGCTTTTTGCCTTTGTCTTCAATAATTATACATTCCCATTATCTTATAATATTTTAGTCCCTACAAAGATGCAGAAATATCTTCTTTTGTGATATCACTTGGTAGGGTATAATGCAAAAAAGAAACATACCATGAAAAGGAAGGAAAAACTGGTAGTTAGCTACTTTTACCCGATCGTTGACAGTGGTCAAGGGATATCGGGGAGGTCGGAAGGCTTCCAGAGCGACTCGACTGCAAGGAGCTTATATTGAAATTGAAACTGGTGATGGAAAGTTATGGCAGCCATGGGCCGCATAATGATGACGGGCACGATTATCGCGATGGCGATAGATTATGGGGCGGCTCCGTCTATTCAATCGATCACATACGATATGACGACGACGAATATGGAGGAGGAGCTGGTGGAGGCCATTAAATGGTTGCCCAAGTGGGGACAGGAAACATGAGAACGTGTGAATGAGATCCACAAGAAATTGAGTTCATTGAATGAGTCTATCCATCATCACCGAGCACAGGACTTTTAAAGATCTCAGGTGGAAACTGATGGGGCAAAGCGATTCCTTAAGATTGGGATTAGATCATTGTGCTGAATTGGCGGTTAACCTGATGGTTTGGGTAGTGTAATGACTCTATCATTGCTTAACGACGCTTTTTCAATTTTCTTTTGATAAAAAAAATAGTCTTCAGTTGATTATATCTTGAAGTACCTTTCATAAAAATAAATCTAAAGCCCGCTACGTTAAATCGAACTTTTGTATACGCTTGAGACTTAAGAACTGAGGAATGTGCAACAAAGTTAAAAGATAATTACATGTAATTTAAATGATATTAATCAAAGTGTTGTTAGCGGTTTCTGGCCCTTCATGTGCGTAAAGTCATTGTAAAATTTGCATGTTATTTTCAATTACGGTTCCCAGGGTTTGAAAATTATCCTCAGAATATGCATCATCATTATTATAATGCCATCCATCCTGCAGAATGGTCTAATAAAGTGCACAACGCCGCTCTTCGCCGACTTTCATGGCTTCTGTTTATACAAAATCGGAAAGGGTTCACGATTTGGGCTGCGTGACCCTGTAAGACTTGTAATGGATTTTCTTAGTTACGCGAGGATTGCGTGCGCCGCAAAAAAAAAAAATATATAAAAAAGACAAAAAGGGGAGATATATACGCCGATACCGGTGGAACCTTACGTGTTTCGCCCCTCTTTTTCCTTTTGGCCAACAATTTGTTAACAATTAGCGCCCATTGGATCTCTCTATGCCAAAAACACAGAGCCACTTGCCTTTTAAGGGGCAATGCGGCATTAAGAGCTCCACATTCCACTTGAACGCGGTGAAACTTCGCCGGTGGTCCAGCCATATTTACCATATATAGCATATATAACTATAAATATATATATACATATGTATATACTTATGCATATGCGCGTACTTGACCATATCCATATCAATCATGCCGTCGTTGCTGTATGCTAATGATGGCAATTAATCAATGAGAATCAGTTAAGACCTGCAGCACACGAGGCGCACGCAATCGGTCCATTCAGGAAAAAATAACTGAGCCAGGTCAGAGCAAAAAAAAAACAATCAAAAAGTGAGCCACCAAAAAATTTAACAAGATCTGCACTCTAATGATGTGCTGAAGTGACTGGGCATCTGGGAAATTAATATCCCGCAAATGGAAAAACATTTGTAATTGCCCCGGGTCGAGTGACCCACATTGAATTGCCAGTCAGGCAAAACAAGCCAGGATCTCATTTAAAAATATTTATTGGCTTACACACATTTAAAATGTAAATGTTAGTTCATTTAATGTTGAAAATATACGTTAATATAAAAGATATCACCTGCAACATAATTATAATCTATTTTAAAGCAAAAACGAGATTAATTGCAGCACCTAAAATTGGACTAATGATGTGCTGAGAGCCAGGAGAAGAATCAACCTGGCAATTTGAACATTTGAAAGTGCGCCAGGATGGCAAGTGACCCACATTAAATTGGCAGACATGTGTTAACGCCTCCAAAATGCACTCCTACTACCAATATCCTCCTCCAATCCCATGTCATGCTCACAGCGTGTGCCCTCTTCAAACGACCTCTGAACTGACCTTAATTGTCCACGCCTACCGCAAAAAAAAAACAAAAATTTCAAACCAAAACTAGATCAGTCCGTACATTTTTTGCACGTGGCACTCTCCGCCATTTTCATATTTTTTCGATTGGCCTACGCGCGGGGGGATAAACCAGTTCGAGGCATGCAAATAATATAAGTTACTGTGTCAGCGGCAACAGGTGAAATTGTCGCCCCAAGTCCACGCTTTTGGATCCCGATTCCCCGGCCCATCCCCTTTTTTTTTTTCAGCCAAGTCAATGTCAAGTGTTGCCCCGGCTGACTTACTACAAAAGTTAATTGCACTGCACGCGCACGCCAAAAGGTAAAAAGAGTCTCCAGTCGCGAGTCTCGAGTCTCGACGACATGCACCCGATGCCCAGTGTATCCAGTATCCAGTAACCAGTAACCAGTAACCAGTGCCCCGTACTCTGTATTCAGTACCAATCCCAGACCTCTAGACCTCAACTTGAGGCTCGGGCCACGAGGCGCGTGTGCGCAATATCAGGTTTCCACGTCCACTGGCACAGTGGTTCGACGATTGCCAAAACCAAAGCGATTTTCAATGCAGCAGGCAACTAAAGCTATACAATATTATTTTAATTAAAGTATGAGTAATTATTTTTTAAAGAACTAAACATTGCTTTTTCAAACTTCCTTATATATCGCTCATGAAATTATTTTTCACTTCCTTTTTTAAAAATTTTGACCCACTGTGCGGGGGCAACTGCCACCGTGGTTGTCATTAGTCCGCTGCACTTGCTGTTGTAATTGTGACAGGAGCAACGAGCTTGGATCGCTAAAGGGTCGATCTCCGGTTGAAGGTGCACTTGGTCACCTGTACTTTGGCGGGGGCCTTTCGACTGCAGGGGGTTCCACTGTCCACTGTCGACTGGCGGGTTTTGCTGCTGATCGTGAGTGCCAGAAGCTGATTTCAGCGCGGCTTCCGATAAGCAACCGCTTCCAAGTTGCCTCTTTCATATATTTTTTGTATTATTTTTTCGGCTTTGACAGACGCGTTGATTGGTTTTGTTGGGCGAAGCCGGCGAATGCGGAGCTCTCTTGATTCCATGAGACATGTAAATTGCTGAGAGCTCTGCCGGAAAACACAGAAACTGGTAAAAAACCTTTATTTTTTGGCTGTTTTTGTTGTAGTTGATTGTATTTTGTTGATAGTCACGCTGTGACACGCCCCAAGCCTCCCGTATTTGACAACTTTTTGCATAATTGCAATTGCCAGCAGATGAGCGGCGAAGAAGAAGAGTGATTACACAGCAAGATTATTATGTATTTTAATGTATCAAAAAAATAAACTAGATTTAGATATGTTATGAAAATTAATATTTTTAAAAATGTAGAAACAAAAACTTGCTGGGGGCCTTATAGAATTTGAGTGCTATCATATTTCTTATTTTGTTCAGTGTTCTGCCGAGAAAAAAGCCGCTTGATGGCCGAGGCCAAAAGCCGTGGACCATTCATAAATTTTGAGCCAACTCATAAATACGGCAGCAGAGGCTATCGAGGTGTTGGCCTTACAATCTCACGCCGTGATGATGCCTGAAAAGCCAAAAGCCAAACGCCCTTTACCACGGGCTGGCTTCTTGTCTGATTTAATGCAATGCCAAAACAAATTGTTATGTTGGGGCCGCTTGCTGCCCGCAATTAATCAAAGTTTTCGCATTACAATTAATCAAAAATCGCTATCCTTCTCCGTTGGATTTCTGCAGGAGCTGTAGCTGTAGCTGTTGGCTTTTGCTCCTGGTCATAAATATCTCTGCCAGTTGGCAATATAAGGCATTGGCCAAATAGAATTGGCGGCGTCAAAACGCTCACCTTAGATGTGTCGCACCGATTCCCTGACATATGAGATATATCGAAATTGAGAGCGGCTTTCGTCCTTTCATCGTGCAGCGACCGATGATCAGGCGGCAATTTGATGGCCATGAACAATTGACAGTTGACTTTTGATTCGATCAGCAACGGAAATAAAATTCCATATATCTAGGCTTGAAAACAAGACAATAAATGATCCAAAATCATTTTTGTTATTTTCTGTATTTATTTCCTTGGAATAAATACAATAATATTTGTGGCATTTATTTTGATATACTTCTAAGTTTACTTATTAAATATCTTATTAATTTGCCACCGCACTTTAATCAAAATTACACAATTCCCAGGGCAACGACAATAAAATGACCTTGCACGCGAAATGGCACTAAAGTTGCCATTAAATCGAGGCTTTACTGTGCCAAAAGAGTGCCGCTTTGGAGAAGTGTGGAAAAAATGATGCGATGTCAAGTTATTGACAGGCCGAGTCGATATTAATGACGACTTCATCTTCATTCGCTGGATACGCCGTATATGTGGCCCCTTGCCCCTTCGATTTATCCCCCCGGCTTTTCGTTTTCGTTTCGTTTTGCTGTCGCCGTGTCTTACTAGCAATTATTGAACTAGTTAGCCGGCCCCGAGACAGGAAAGCAGCAGCAGCAGCAGCAGCAGCAGCAGACGATCCCCGATCCCCGATTCAGTTCAGTTCGAGTTCAATTATGATCGTAAGCAAAGCAGCATGCGAAAAAGGCAGAAGGCAAAAGGCAACAGCCAAAAGCCAAAAGCCATGGCGTACGTACATATTTAAGCCAACATGTCAACATAATTTATATTAAATTTTTGTGTCAGATAATGATAGCGCCTTGTGCTGCCGATCGCCGATCGCCGATCCCCGGATCGCGCAAAGTATATCTGCATGAAGCTCCAGGCCGAAATGAATTCGAAATGGGCAGGGGAAAAATATGATATTGTAAACCAGGGACTGGAATATTTTTTTAGATCACAAATTGTAGAAAAACAAGGGAAAGGATGGAAAAGAATTGTTTGTTTTTAAGATTTGCGAATAAATTGTAGGGCCAAAGTTGGCAGCGTTTTCCCTTTTCAACGAGCCACAGCGAATTTCTATTGCATCAACATGAATTTTGCATGACCGACCGGATATGATCGATTCTTTCGGGCTCTGGACATCTGGTTAAGGCCGGGGATGCCCAGTGACCTGTGCTCAGATGTCCTCGAATGTCCTCAGATGTCCTTTTCGGGACGCAATGCCATGCAATCACCCGCGGCTGCACCAACAGAGTGTTAAACGAGGTCCAGCGGGGGTTAATGCCGACCGACGAGAATGCCAATTCAAACCGATTTCGGCACGGTTTCCTAGCGTGCAACCAGAATCCTCCAGCGGCGATCGACGGACAATGGTTTCGGAAACAGTGGAAATCTCCTAAATGCTTTCGAAATGCTTTTGACTTTCGGGCCAGAGAGACGAGACACCAACTGCTACGACGGTCATAAAGGACCCCGGGGCATTAGGAGTGTTAATAGAAAAGTGCCTCTGGCCAGTCAGGTTCCTATGCAGGAACCAAAGGATCGAATGGATCACCGTTTGAGGTGTTGACGAGGCGGCCTTGGAGGGTCGTAAAACTTTGGATTCCAGCGGCACAAGGTCTAATTTTCAATGATTGCTAAATGGTCTCGCAAGGTCATTATGCGATTTGTGAACATTTTGAATAAGTATCTTTCCTTTTGCTACTCTTACACTTGCAAGGGACTTTTTTTCATTAAATTAATATTTAAGTAACCATTATCTAAAAGTCACCAACAATCCAGTTTAGAATTTGATTTGTTTAGACCTTTTGATTTTTTTATGACTCAAGTAACAGAGCCATGAAAGCTAGCTGGCGCTGGCCACTTTCATTAGGAGCTGAAGCCCCTTTTATTTTGAGGGGTTGTTGCTGGAGCCTAAGGTCTGGGGCGCAGACCTTTTGTTTTTGTAAACCGGTTGGCAGTCGGCACGCGACAGAGCCAGGTTTTAAGTTTTGGTTTGCAGACGTCTGGCAGCTGAAAACGGGCAAAACACTCAGATGAAACCGTTCCCACTCGAAGGAGGGAACACTCAAACTGAGGCAACGTCGAGCAACTTGCAACGAGCAGATGCAATTTGCAGAGAGCAAGAGAGATGTGGCTGGCTCTCCGTAAAAATCAGAGGAAAGCACTCCGCTCAAGAGACGATCCTTGAGTGATGATGCTGTTGCACCTTTTCGAGGGGCAGGTAGACAATAACGCAGGTGAGATCCCTAGGCCCTGGGTCCCCTATAAATAGCCCGAACGGAACGGGGAAGGGCATCAGAACGGAGCCAGCGCTCAAGTAGAGACCATCCCAGTCATTATAAAAAAAAAAAACAAAAAACAAAATATTTCACATTCGAAATCCTTCGAAAACTCTAAGACACAAAACACAAAAATGGCTCTGGGCAATGAGAATCAGTCCTTCTTCTACGACGACGAGTCGGCCACTTCCCCGGTCAGTGGGCCTTCTGTCATCCGGCGGAATGCCCGGGAACGCAATCGCGTCAAGCAGGTCAACAACGGCTTCAGCCAACTGCGGCAGCATATTCCCGTGGCCATAATTGCCGATTTGAGCAATGGTCGTCGCGGAATTGGACCGGGTGCCAACAAGAAGCTCAGCAAAGTCAGCACACTGAAAATGGCCGTAGAGTACATACGCCGCTTGCAGAAAGTCATTGATGAGAACGATCAGCAGAAGCAGCAGCAGCAGCAGTTGCAGTTGCAGCAGCAACATCTGCACTTCCAGCAACAGCAGCAGCAACATCAGCACTTCTATGCCTGGCAGCAGCAGTTGCAGTTGCAATCGCCCACTGGCAGCGTGAGTTCCTGCCACAGCAACAACAGCAGCGGCAGCAACAGTTCCTACTACACACCAGCCCACTCATCGGCGATCCCAGCAGCAGCCACATCGTCGGCGTCCTCCGACATCGTTACCAAGTTGGAAACCAGCTACGAAGACTATCGCAACAACTCCTGCAGCTCTGGGGCCGAAGACGAGGACATCCTAGACTACATATCCCTCTGGCAGGACGATCTGTAGGTTGCCCATCCTCAAAGTCCACTGCAATCGCTAGTCGCTTTCAACCATCACAACACACAACAAACCATTGATTGCCCAACAAGTATTACCTCAGCCACAAAGTATTTATACTCCCCAAATGATTTTTTTTTCGACTGTACAAATTAGTTTTTAAGTCTTTATATAGTTTATAAGACTAGCTCGTAGATGGAAGACAATGTAAACTTAAGAACATCTTTTTTTAACACAAACATGGAGGACATTAAACTGATAATTATAATGAAATTAACAATTTGTTTCTTTGTGCAAAAGGGTCGAGGAAGTTGGTAAGGTAAGAATTACATATTCAACCTTTAACGAAAACCAAGGTTATAAATTATTAGTGCAATGCGTTACAGACTCAAGACTAAAATCCGAAATAACAAAAGGTTGTAAAGATTGCGTTTTGGCAAAATAGAAAGTAAGCTAAATATTTGTTGTAATTTCCAGTTTTGTTTTCTTATTATATATTGCTTTAGATAAATACCAAAAAAATATATCAAATCACCAACATTCGAGCTGTTACCGTTAAGTATTCACAAGATCACCAATCAGTGGACGGTAAATTGTCCTTACAATTTGTCAGAGCTTCTGGATCGAGAAAGCAGCTCTGCATAAATAATGCCGGATTGAGTAGGGTAAAAACAAGCAAAGTAATTTCCTTGCTGCATTTTTGCATACGGCAGAGTTAATCAGAGCCTGGGTGCCGACAATTCCCAAGCGATCGATCGATCGATTGTTGAACTAATTTTGAATTATTCCAGAAATGCAGGGGAAGCAAGAGGAGCAAAAACACAGGCCGACAAATGTTCAGATCGCCCCCGACAAAGCTAAGCAACAAAAAAAAAAAGAAAAAAGAGGAATTCGCTGGGGTCTTTTGCAACGGAAGCTGTCGCGATGAATTGGCAACAGATAAAATACGCATAAGCTGCATATATATATATATATAGCAAGCAAATGCCGAACGACATTGCACATTGTGGGATTTTACTATGCGATTTTTTTTTTAACTTTTATGCATCCCACGCGCATTTCCTGTCCTGCGAACTGGACCTCATTAATAGATAAAAAAAAAAGAATATTGGGGGTGCGCACTTCCGTCAATTGGGGGCTGTAGCTCCGGAACTCTTGACTTTGAGGCATATAACTGATCTCCTCTTTCGGCCAAGTTTCCGTGGCAATCGATTCGCCATGCGATGCAAAGGAAGAGCAATGAATTCGAACGGTGGTGCACCTGAAGAAATTTGTAGCCAATTTTATATCAGTTCAAGGCAATTCCTAGCTTAAGACAAATTTTTCACCCGTTAAAACTAGTTGATTATTTCAATTACTAGGATATCAGTAGAAAGATGTCTCAAACTTATAATTTTTTGTAAAATTCCAATTACAAAACGACCATGCATTTCGCAAACTGTTCTTTGATGCAGCTTTTGAGCCAAGAATCGAACGGTTCTGGGGCCCACAGCTCTTTTCATGGCGCATTTATCGAATTATTATTTCCGGCGTTTTTCCTGTTTTTGCATTGCATATATGAAACGGCTTAGTACTGTACTGTACAAAAACCAAAACAAAATAAAAACAAACTCAAGGACCGAGTAAGGATTCTCCCAGCAAGGGAGATGGTGATTTCAAGACCCCCTCTTCGGGGATTCGAAGAACGAGAAAGGTCGAGGGGGTTTGCTCTCCACCATTGGCGGTCTCGATGGGCGGCATTCGACACAATGTCTCGGCGACAGCAAACGGTGCAAAATCGAACGCTTTTTGTGTGAAGTTAATAATACATTTGACATGGACCCGAAAAGGGGATCGATCCCAGAAATATATGCAGAAATATGTAGCATATCGATCCAGTTCGCCCCGGGTACGAATGAAAGCCCCTTTGGGGTATTGCTCGTATATGTATATATACCCCGTAGTCTGTGAGCAGATGGGAATATTACAAGTGAGCTGAGTTACGTAATAGTAAAATTATATATGAATTATATACATTTTTTTAAGTTATATAAAACAAGACCAACGGTTTTAACGTTATTTATTTTCACATATAAATTTACGATAGTTTAGAAGTTACGGAGTTATATAAAACTCTTGTATAAAAGACAAAACTTCTAACTTATTTTGTTTTACAAAGGAAATAAGTATCATTCAGTTGAAACTTTTAATCAATTGCGGATTTCTCGATTTTCTTTATTGTTTTTTTATGGTTTTTTTTTTTTTTTTTATGTTTGATGCAGTACGCTCTTTACATGCAATGCTGGGAGAATAAATTTATGATTTATTAAGGATGCTCTGATTACAACACAACCATGGTTCAGACACCGTCCGATGCTGACTGATGTCTCGTAAATAACTTTAAGGGGGCAACAAGTGAGTTATTTGTTTAACATGAACGCGAGTTTTTGACTCACAAATGTTGACAAAGAATAATGTTATTTATGTTCGGTGCTGACATCTTTCCAGGATTTCTCCGATGCGGAAAACGGAGAGGAATCTCGTCCCTCTTTCCCGAAAGAGTGCTAGAGATTTCACCGCATTGCAATTAAAGATATTCGCACCGATAGACATGTATGACTACTATATCTTCAAGTGGGCGTGATGGCCTAGAAAAAAAAAAAGCCGACAATAGCTCGCGTGCACAATTGTCCACGTAATTGTGATGTTATGTAACTTCTGGCGAAATACAAGTGCATCGTCCAAGGGGAACACAATAAAGAAACCGAGCCGCTCCTTTCCACACAAAGGTGCACTTGTCATTGTTACAGTTTCCCCGGTTTCCCCTGTCCAACAAAATTTCGATTTCCCAAGCCTGGCAATTAAAAACGCCCACCAAAAAGGATCCTGTTGCGTGCGTGTGCGTTTAAGGATCAAAATTCTATTCTGAAGTTTTCATTAGTTAAGCTGATTACGCTTGACAATGCAGCTGAAATGATAATGATGCGCTGTGGTCCTTCAATGTACGTCATATATAATACGAATTGATGTACGAGGATTATTTTAGGGTGCATCATTGAAAAAAAGAGCACAACAGGTTCCAATAAAACTATTAAAAGAGATTACGATTACGACGCTAATTGCAGCTTAATAATTTTATATTTTTTTATTATTTTATACAACATTTGTTTGTGAGTTAAAGTCTTAGTCCATCAGTAAAAAGTTAAGTTAATATTGTAACCACTTTAGCTTTCCTTTATTTTTATTCAGGGAAAATGCAAAACCATGTTGTTGGCAAAACGTCTCAATTTAACCGCGGGCTTTAACTTTGCAAAATATTTAAGTTAATTACCTTAAGACTGGCGTCCGGCGATCATCAAAAGGGTTAGCTTTTTTAGTTAATTAAAGACTCGTGCGGGGAGACCTTTCTGTAAATAACAGGGCAAACATAACAAACCATTTGGGGACTTTGGTGGATGGGGATGGATAAAATAAAAATGTACATCGAAAAATTACTGTTAACAATAATTAACTTGCTTAGAATAATATCGAAAAGTTTACATGAGCTGATTTAATTACCAACAATACCAAAATACATATCTGTCCTGGCGTTCGAGTTAGTTCATTGTTTTCTCGAAGAATCCTAAAGCTCCCTTAAGTCCTCGGGCTGCGCAGAGCCATCAGAACGCTTTTAAAATGAAATTTACAACATTTAATTGGATCAGAAATGAACTGAGAACATCTTCAACTGCTGGCGGGACATTCCAGGATCACCGCGACTAGACCAAGTCGCGTGGCATTATGCCGTCGAAAATATGAGTCTTTTATGTGCTTAAAAGCATTCGGCTCGCATTCACTGCGTGACTGGGTTAATTAGGCGCCTTGCACTCTCAGCTTTTCCCCTCGATATAACGATATACACTGGCGCCAGGAAAAGTGGAAGCGGACTTGAATTGATTGAAATTTCCACTTCTAAGAAATCAAAGTTTGAATTATATTTTAGTTAATATTTGAACAGAAAATAACTTATAATATATATGCTTAAGCTAAAATTAAATCGAGGAGTATGCTGAAGTAAATGCTATTCTTTCTGCCGCAACTGTAGATATGTTTTTGGTCTTGCCCCATCGAAATTCACTTTTGATTTCATATGCATTTCATCAAATTGCCGGTGCGCACGCGCATGCCAAAAGGCAGCGACTCAAAGGTGGAGATAAGAGACCTTGGTTTGATTTGAAAATTACTCGAAAAAACAAAAAGCACACGGGCAGAGCAGAGCAGCAAGGGAAAAAATGAAAAAATGAAAAAATGTATATAAAGTGGAAAACAGCAAAAACGGGTTGCAGCCGATGCCAATTAAATGTGGTCCAGTCCACATCGTCGAGATCCCCGATCTTCGGACTTCGTTGTCATTGCCGCCGCGGTTTACTTCAAATGGGAGACGCGCGCGTCCAGCGCCAAAATGGCAATCTTTTTGAAATTTATGATGAAAAAATGAACACTGTCGCTTTTTTTGAACATTTTAATTATACACACACAGACGTGGGATATATTTTTTTTTGAGATGGAAGGAAGATTTTCGGGAGATACCACTATGTGCCGAGGCGCCCCGTCCGTCTCAACCGGTAGCTGAGCACACTAGCAGAAAATGATTATTGTCCGAGTTTGCATTTCTTAGTATTTTATGTTTTATGCATTATTATGCATTATTAAGCCCTACACATATTTTTTCACAGTGTCTTCATAAGAGCCACCGACTTTATCCCGCATAGCGAGTTGTTCCGGGCATTTGGCGAGTAATTAATAAATTCGCGACGCTGCCACAGGATATTTGCATAAGAAATTATGGCAATGAAATGTTATGACCGCGCCCGTGACAGACGACTTGCGTTACTGGGCCGAAGCCTCCTCCTCGAAGGTCACCAGTACAAGACGGGCACTTTGAAGCTGCTTCCGTTGAAGCCGATGATGACCCATTGCATAAGCCAGTTTTTCAGAGATCTCGCCTCCAGCTGCGATGCACTGAGACAGTTAGTCTCTCTGGCCGACGACACTGGATATTGTGTGACAGTTATGCATATGATTTTTGGACCGGCAATTGTCCTCAACGCAGCATGCGGCGAATGTCCGAGAAACCGAGAACAAAACAAACACATCCTTTTTTGCACGTGGCTTGCGAGGATAATGCCAGGAAACAGAGAGTCCCACTGCCATTGTGAGTGCAACAATGTTAATGAAAAGTAGTCAACGCAAATTACATAAGGCTCTGTCCGATT